ATGGCCTTCTGCGGGAAGTTGATCAACAGCCATCTCACCTCGCGTTGGACACGGGGATAGGGGAATCGAGTGACCAGTTCAACAGCAATAGACGGGTCCTCGGCCCAGGCAACACGAATGAGGGGTGCGAGGGCAGTCTGCACTCATTGTTAGTAACATTTCCAGATTGCAAAAAGTCACCACATACCTCGATAGCAGCCTTGTTAGCTTGTCCGTGAGCCTTGTTAGGCTCGCCAAGTGGGTGCACCCACACCGACAAACGCGTTTGTTCGCTCTCAAGCAGAAAAACAAGAAGTTGCTCCTTGGCCTGCAGGGACTTGATCGTGTCCGCAGCGTTTGCTCCGATGAATGCAACATGCTTCAATGCCGCTACGATGTCGGTCAAGAGACGAAGTTCCGTCTTCAGCTGCAGGATATTGCTGCCGAAAGACCATCTTGGAGCGTAACGGAACCAACTGAGTGCGGCAGACAAGATCTTCTCCTTGAACCGCCATTGGGCGATGGCGCCAATGGTGGTACAGACATGCAGCACCTTCAGTCCGAACAATACGATCTGAAACCGCAGTTCTCGTGCCATCGGGTGAGGCGTCGATGATCGCACAGCATCCAGAGTGACATCGAGCATGCGCAGGAAGACTCGCTGGACATCCGGGCTGCCCAAGCGGGTGGCATTGAAGTGGCTAGCGAAGAATTGCAACAGCCTCATGTGGGGAGACAGCAAATTGTGCACCTGCTGCTTGCGCTTGGCCAAGGCCTCAAGATCACTGGGCGCGAATTCTTCCTTCAGGAAGAATGGGTCAGGATGCCTGGAAACTTGTTAGTCGTGTCGAAAGGAGGGTGTCAGATGACTTACGACATTGCATGACTAAAGAGCCCAAGGCCGCTCTGGATGGTCGCCTCCCATTGTTGAGCAATTTCGGTAAGAAGTCTAGGCTCGAGCCGTGGGTTCTCGTTCATCACACCCAACCACAGGGAAACGCCCAATTTGATAGACTGCTTTGTGAACATGGCGAAGGGAATGCTGACGAGGTAATGCGCAACAGCGGACTCATCACGGTTGCTGCGGCAAAGCAGGGCTGCAGCTCTGCGCAGGATATCGCGGACTTCGGTAAGAGCAGTGGTCTTCTTGCTCTTAATGCGGGCTTCAACGTGCGCCAGAGCGGTGGCGGCGTTCGCACTATCGCTAGCACTCGATCCTGACGACTGCAAGAAAGACGCTCTACGGTTCAACTGCATGAAGTTCACAAGTTCATTGCCACGTTCGGGTAGAGTCTCGCCATATCGGTACTCTTGACGGGTGGTATACTGGGCAACAAAGTCAGACCCAGTGTTGATGCTACAGTCTCCGACTCGATCGAGAGACTGCAGTCTTTGGTCGGTTGACGGCATGAGAGACCCAAGCTCAATAGCAAAGGAGCGACCCAAAGAAATGTGGCCATATGCTCCTTCGTCGTCGAACTCGGACAGGTACGTCTGTAGAAGACCTTTGATGTCCAGGGGTGCTATGCTGATAACGCTCGAGACCCATTGTTTGGCTCTGCGATTCAGAACGTCCAGAGTATGGCGGCGGAATGTGTAATCGTCGGATAGCTCGACGGACACGTCTCCGAGGCTGGAGGTGAATTTTGATCGTGGTGCGTACAGATCTGTTTCGGCTTCCAAACAGCTCGACCACATCAGAGAAAGCAGTTCCAGCAAGGCGAAGAGCGACGATCTGTGGCAGAGAGCAGAAGGAACCTGAGTGATGATGCGGTCCGCGCAAGTAAAGGCTGCTTGCTGAACTCGCTCGATTCGATGACAGCAGCCACAGAAGATGGCAACGAGCTGTGCGGCAGCATACTGAGCAGAGAAGGTAGCATCCGTACCGCCCAAAGTCTTGCGCAAATACTTGTCCACTACAGCGGCAGCAATGCCCTCCATGGTACTGCTGACCTCACCTCTACGCATGCTGGGCTCCAAGAAGTACGAGAGAGCCTTGGTGCAATCTCCAGCATCCGCTCGGAGACTCTCAACCAAGTAAGCGGCGTGCAAGAAGATCACCTTGCGGTAACTCAGTCCCTTGATTTCTGTAGCCTTATTAGGAATCAACTCAGTGAGATGCCTCTTCTGCAGCGACTCTCTGTCGGAGCTCATGCCTCGGCGGAGGACGGTGTTAAGCTCGATGTCACTCTCAATCTGTTCCCCTCGCTGTTCGGCAACCAGAGGGGGCGAATGAACGGCCATGATTCGAAGCTCATCAAGATAGGTCTTGCCCATGTCGGTCTGCGTAGTGAAGCCGTGGACAACAATGTTGAACCAAGCATCTCTGATCATTGAGTGCGACTCGTCATCGGTAATAGTATTGAATGCCAGATCGTTGGTTGACATGAAGACAGCCAAGGGATGCAGCAGCTCCGCAATCTCTCGGGCCGCCAGCTGAACATCGGCCTCCTTGGTGTGGTTCGACTGGTGAACGTCGCCCATGGAAATGATGCTCTCCAATAGGTGCTCCCAGTAGATGTCATAAAGGGGGGATCCACGGTGGAGGTTCGCCGAGATGTATGTACGCGCCTTCATGACCTACTGATTGTTAGATGTGGATAATCTGGAAGTCGATTGGTTAGGAGGCACTCACAGCAACCAGAAGGAAGTCCTTGTGGCCGACAACCCCAATGTGACAAATTCTAGAGAACACCTTCAACAGCGATCGGAACTCAAGCTGTCCGCCCTTCAACGCAAGAGCGGCAGCACCGCTAACGATTTGAGCATCGACACTGCTGTTGACCTTGTCGATTTTCTGAAGCAGCATAGACTGTGCCAAGGCTGTGATCTTCTCGTCATTGCAAGCAGTCGCAATACCACAGATAGCTTGGACGACGTTGCCATAAACCATCGCGGTTTCTTCCTCACCAGTAATGGCCAGGGAAATGCTGCTACCAGTCGAGTGGCGATTGGGGTATAACGTAGCAGCAGCGTCCACGGCGAGGTCCCCATTGGTGCCGTTCGTCATGGATCTATCAGAGCCGGGGCTCAGAACGTTACCCAAGGTGTAAAGAGTTGTGATGACAGCGTCATGAGAAAGGAGCTGTAGAACAAAAGCCAGACTCTTGGACGCGACCGCAACAGTGCGAGCGTTGGGCGCACTCTGCACAATGAATCGAGGCAGCAGTCTGCTGGCCGTCGCAGCGTATCCCCTGGAGATCTTACAGACCAAAGCAATCGATCTCAAGACCGTTGCCGCCAGGTTTTCGTCCGCCATTTGGAGAGGGTCTGCAAGGGTCTCCTCCAGCCAGTTAATCAAGACATCGACGTCTGCAACATCCTCGTTCATGAGCGAGCAATTAAGATAGCTGATGAGAGCTGCCGATTTCACTGCAAACGCCAGTCTCTGCTGCCAAGAGGACCCAAGCTTGAGGTAGTCTTCGCCGGCTTCGAGATAATTCATCTGGTCAACGGCTACCGTAGTGTACATGTCGAGGGACCGGTAGTCTGCATCGGGACTACGTGGAGAACCTGGTCTGAACGCTCCATCGCCTGACATGAGCAAGTCGAGGATGTGGGCGCCGCGCAAGAGGGATGCGTCGGTGACCAAAAGCGAGGTGCCGGAGACAAGAAGCCACATGTAGCTTCTTTGAAGCAAGATGGCTCCCAGGGGTCGTCCAGCAGCAGAGTAGTGGCGCAAGTATCTCTTCCACTCTCTGGCATGGCGATCAGAAGACTGTGAGTTCCTGATGGTAGAAAAAGCCGTCTCGACAGCAACCAAGAACGACTCTGAGAGAATATCTCTGAATCGCTGAACCAGTGCCAGTCTACCTCCAGCCCTCCAGAAATCTGCTTGTGCCGACGCCGCATCAAGGAAACCAAGCAGTGAGACTGCAATCGTAGCTGTCCTGATAGCGTCCTCCAAGTTCGGGTCTTCGTCGTCCTGCTGAGGTGGGACAGTGTGATCCGCCGCATGATCGCAGGCATTGACAAATGCCCAGATGTTGTCGGAAATCATCTCGTGGAGATCATCGTAATGGGAGCCGAGGGACAACAGCGCGGCCGTGACGTGGAATGCCAGTGCCTCTGTCGGTGATGGCTCGACCTTTCGGAAGAAGGGCGACGGAACAAACACCTGGACGTGGGCCTCGAGAACATAGGGAATCAATTGATGGGCGAGCTTCTGGGCGCTCTGGCTCGTCTGGATAGCGGGTGCGGCTTTGCATAGCGATAGGAGGACCTCGAACTCGCGAATTGTCTACAGAAATAGGGGGCTTGTTAGCCATCGCTCACTACGAGACACAACGATGCTCATCGTATGGATTATGTTGAGAAGTGCACTACCATCGGACATCTCCCGAGAGAAGACGAGTTCTGCTTTCCAGAATAGCCATTGACGCCCTTCCCAGCGGCTTGAGTTGCCTTGCACAATCGGTCGAGATCAGAACGGTCGAACGAAGTACGCGAGCTGGCAGCAGAGAGCGACGCGATCTTCTCCAGCGCCCGCTGCCGAATGTCGCGGGTCATCTTGGAGGAGTTCGTAGGGCTCTAGACCCCGAGGTGAAAGATTTGGTCGATATTTCAAGTAATTTGGTGTTTTCGTGATTTATTGAAGCATTTCACGATGCGGGAGTTTCCCTTGGAATTCGCGTCTATTTCCTGGCAGCTGCACAGTGACGATACCTTGTCTTTAGTGGTTTCTGCAAGCCTCCCCCAAATTTCCCATCTGAGAGCAGCCACATCCCTGCACAGCTCCTGCCATTCCTGAGCTGCTCTGCCTTAGTCATCAGGTGAGCTAGCTACCCCTGCCAACCACCACCACTACTACCACCCACCAAGCAAGGCTGCCAGCTTGACGCGTGCACCGGAGCACTCAGCAGTAGCAGCCTTGAACCTCAATCAAAGCGACGACGTCCCATCAACCCAACCCCACCAACGAACGAACCTCATCGAATTGACGATAACCACCCTTTTGACGACCGACATTTCCATCACGAACGATAACGAATAATCTTCCTTTCTCTTCAGATACCGCAACCATGGCTATGTTCAGCCAAAATCCCCTGATGAACGGGCCCAACTACTCCTTCTCCGAGGCCCCCAAGACCGCCAACGGCGAGTTCAGACAGCACCGCTTCAACCCGTACGGAGCTCCTCTCGACCCTCCCATCGTACCCAAAAGCTAACCTACCCTGTGCTACAGCTACACGGACAACGGCGGTTCCACCCTCGCCATTGCCGGCGCCGACTTCGCCATCGTAGCCGGCGATACCCGTAGCACTTCCGGCTACAGCATCAACTCCAGATACACACCCAAGGTCTTCAAGATCGGCGGCACCACCTCAACACAAGAAGATGCGACAATCATGCTCTCTGTCGTCGGTTTCGCCGCCGACGGCGAGGCCCTCAAGGACCGCCTCGATACCATCTGCAAGATCTACCGCTACCGCCACGGCAAGCCCATGAGCGTCACAGCCTGCGCGAAGCGTCTCTCGACGATCCTCTACCAGAAACGCTTCTTCCCCTACTACGTCTACGCCATCCTCGGCGGTCTCGACGAGGAGGGCGTCGGCGCCGTCTTCTCCTACGACCCCGTCGGTAGTTACGAGAGAGAGCAGTCCCGCGCCGGCGGTGCCGCCGCCAGCTTGATCACACCGTTCCTCGACAACCAGGTCAACTTCAAGAACCAGTACGTGCCCGGCAGCGGAGTGGGTCACGAGCTGCAGGAGCGTCCCCGCGTTCCCCTGGAGCGCAAGGAGGCCGAGATTTTGGTCAAGGATGCGTTTGACGGAGCGGTCGAGAGACACATCGAGGTCGGTGACCACCTGCAAATGATGGTCATCACCAAGACCGGCATCGAGGAGGTTCTTCTCCCCTTGAAGAAGGATTAAAGATATGATGGGATTTTGGGAAAGTGTTGCGGTCGGGGGGACGTTGTACAATACAGACAGGTAGCAATGCCAAAGAGGCACTTGTTCAGCTGATCAATCATCGTACGCGGTTCAAATTTCAGCCCGCGTGCTCACAGCAAACCAAAGGCCCTTTGCCAACTCATGCGGGCAGTTCCCCTGTGAATCCCATGCTGCGAGGCCATCTGGAAGATCTGGTAGGTCGTTCGCTCTGCCCTGGGACAAGCATGGGGAAATAGAGGAATGCAGGCAGGGATATCTCATTTCGCCTCGCAGGACGCATCGGCTACCCAGGACGAACCGATGGTCTTTGACCCCTTTTCTGCTGCATGTGATGCCACACAGCTCCGCGGTATGCGCTAGGCCATGGTCCAAAGGGGAGGAAGTTTAACAGGGACGAGTACGAATACGGAATGAACGGATAGGATGCTTAATGTTCGAACCCCTCCTTCCGAGAGCTCTCCTCCATTATCGCTTGACGTTTGGTGATATCTGGTGCTTTGCTTTGCATGCCTTGCGTCCCTGGCACCAGCGAATCAGACGTAGTAAGTCCGCTCGACTTTTCCGCTGTACTGCTGTGTTAAAAGGCGTGTGGCATTCTCTATCTCTCTCTCTCGCACTGCCATCCGTACTTGGTAAGCTGGTCGTCTCGAGAAAAGCGAGCCCTTCCAAACGGGACTATGTGATAGGTGACCCCAGGCTCCAGGTTCCAGATCCCAAGTCCAGGTTCAGGTTCCAGAAAACGGCACTAAGCGCTGCAAGCGAGGGGCGGGCAGAAAGGAATGGAAGGACATCGCGGACGGGTATTGGACGTTGGACAGCCCGTTCCTGTCACACTACGGGTACGGGCTGGACCGAGTTAGCGAGGGCACGATGCACGAAAGCACGGAGGCTCTTTGGGGAGGGGATCGCGGACGAATAGCTTGGAGCAAAGTGGCAAAATACCGCGTACTCGGCGCCCGCCCCGTTTGAGATAACCGCCTGGTAGGGCCTGGTTTTGCCTCTGTCTGGCTGTCATCTAGGTATCTACATACCCCATGAGTGTGCCTCTCTGGAGAGAGCACAGCCACGCCATGGGAAGCCGGCTAGAGCCCTTCCCCCAGCCTGTGTGATCCGGGATATCGGTAGCGAAACGGTCTTAGACGCCCGAGGGAGCTAGGTATCACGGGGCAGCGGTAGGTCCGAGTCAACCGTATCAAAGGGGCCTCCTGGAGATTCTATGTAGAGATTGGAGCCTTTGCCAGGGGGGTTAGATGAACCAGAACCGCGAGCACCGAATAGCTTGGCGGATGATGCTGAATAGTGACGGACATGCCTTTCATCGGGAAGCTGTTGTACGGGGTATCATTGGCAGCTGGAACGAAGCAAGACTGCAGCTTTCAATCCCCCCCCGGCCTCACGACCACCTGACCCGCGCCGGGGCTGTCGGGGAGACCATCCGAGCAGATGAGGTCTCTACATTTTCTTGCCTGTCATTGCCACAATTGTACGATACAAGGTTATTGGAGTCTCGAGCTACTTTACTGTACGACTGTACTACGGGACCGCCTAGGGCTGGAAGGCGGGCTACTGACAGCTAACGTCGAACAACTGATTCGTAATCTAGCATAAGCTTCTCCTCATCAGACGCAATGCCGCTATGGGCCCAGAGAGTTTCGAGATGCGATCGTCGTCGGAAGCTTACTCTCCAAAGGTATCCTCATAACCCCACCACCACTACCTACAAAGCCACCAGGCACCGCCGAAAATCTTAGCTTCCAACGAAACGGGTGGTCTGTTTGCCACTGGAGACGTATGCTGATCCTCCGGTGGTAAAGAAGGGACGGACCATGGGCCAGTACGTCGCAGGCCTGGAGAGCTGAACCCTTGTTGCATTGCCGATGAGCATTGCAGGGAATCTTTCGTCTTGATACGACCTGGACAGGCTTGAGCTTGAAAAGAGGCGTGTTAACCCAAGACGGGGAAAAAGCATCTTATCTTCGGTCCATGCCGATTGTGGAGAGGATGCCGATATGACGGTATTCGAAAGGTATTTGGTTAGTTCTCGGCAGATCAGGGGATTTGCCATCCCGAGAATAGCCATTGCCCGGAATTACGTCAGGCATACTACCATTTCTAGTTGAGATAAGTTTATATAGAAACATCAAATGGTCCATGTAAATCGTCGTCAATCGCCGTCAGACGCGCATGGGATGTACAGACAATCGTTGCGTATTTGGGCTAGACGTGGCTGATGTTGCATCTGCTGTGTGGCTTGTAACGGCAAGGGTCATTGATGTGGTTGCACACACTAGCATCATCGTCCAGGGCCTCGGAGACAGCTCCTCCAACGAAATCAAGTCTGCTACTGCGCAGCCGGGGAGTCTCAAGTTTGCTAGGCGCTAGGCTGGTAGACATGGTCCACCTGGCGAACGAAATCGCACACAATCCTCTGAAGCGACAGATTGTGCGTCGCCACCGCGGCGCACGGTCGAGACCAAGTCAGATGGCGATGCACAGAACTGTCAAAGTTGTTATTCCGAGTCGAAGTCCAGTGACAAGTACAGAACTCAATGGCTTTGGACGACAGCCTCCGTAGCTCGGGCATTTTGAACCGAATAGGCACTGACGTTGAGAGCTGTCGGCCCGACTGCACTAAGCGGAACATGGTTCTGGTTGCGAAGAAACGAGGCTGCGACTTTTGAAGTAGAAGACCGCACTTGCGTGTTCTGCGTCCGAGGGTCAAATTATATGTCAAGGCGATGTCACCTGTAAGTTGTTGTCTCGAATAGCTGCTTCTCTCCATGCAGCCGCGGTGACTGGCCAAGCGTCCAAGTGCCTCAGTTAACATATTAGCGAGAGGGAGTACTGAGTCTGAGCCGCCTTGTCACCAGCGACTTTGGCTGATCATCGTTTGAGGCTGATGTGTGTTGTCATCGACATGGGATATGCCGCTGCACCGTCTTCGAGTGACGGATTTCAAACAAACCAACCACTAGTGCCTCTCTAACAAGTTGATGAGGTAATGCGGCGTCAAGATGATGCGGTACGTAGCGACTTCGTTACCGGTAGTCTCTCGGTCGAATGCCGTTCTCCTTTTATGTGCACCAGTCCACTGTAGACTGCATTAGCTAACTCATTTGTGTCCCGTAACGGCAGACTAGCCGCGGAGAAAGCTGCCAGACCAGCCTTAGCGGCTGAAGACAAGGCGCCGTGCCGTGACGGCGAGGTACCGTGTATCTGTGCGACTGGGCGTCTGGTGCCCTTGATGCTGGTTGTCAACGCAGCTGGAAATCGGCCAGGCCTTCAGATGTCTGATGCGCTCGGCAATGTGGGCGGTTTCTTCTCAAGGCATCAATGGCTCGCGCAAGTACACCTGAAGTGCCTGGCTGCTAGTAGAACGCCGTATCATGTCCGGGTAGGTTATTGACCATCGCACGCCGCACGCATGGCACTTCGGGTGGCATGTTTCCGGGGTCGGGGTGCAAGAAGAACCCTCAATGTTTCTGCTTCGACGGGTTGTAGCCATGCGTGCCATGATCTCACCCCCGGATCATAATGTGGTAGCAGTGACGATTCTCGGGGATGCGTGCCACATACAACGCAGATCTCGGTGCGGATGGGGTAAAGGATCGGCGCCGGTCAAGCTGGAGCCTTGGTCAGTTGTGGCGAAACTCCGACCGGCAAGCCGCAATACTCGGCCGCGCGGTTTCTCTGGCGTCAAACGGCAGTTTGGCATGCTCGCATCCTTGGACGGCGTGCGCCGTGGATATTTTCTGCTTTTTTGGCTCATTTCCACCTCCGGCGGCCCCGCGTCCCTGGTAAACCCTTTCGAAGCATATTGCGATGATCCGGTGGATGATTGGATCTCGGCCAAGTAGTCAGAGATGTAAGTGCAGGTTGTGTACAATATACAAGTAACAACTTGGCCCGGAGAGGAACTTCCGGCTGTCACAAGTCTGGATAGCTGCACTAGAATTGCCATGATTGATTGGACCCAGATGGTTGCGGTGGACGGGTAAGGGTCCTGCTGCTCAGGCACAGGGTTCGGGCGATGACTCGGGCTGTCGGGGTTGGCGCCGGAGAGGTATCTCGAAGTGAAAGCAGCGATGAGATTGGACAATTGCTTGACGGGTGACTGGCTGCGAGCACCGTAAGAAAGCCTCCCAACAAGCTTGAGACAGGCCTTTTTGCCACAAGCATTCGAGATGGTTGCGGGAGAAGCAAAAAATGCTGCCGCTGCAGGCTTTCGGCTTGCCAGTTGGCGTCAATGAAGGGATCAGGCCTGCTAGAGAGGAGAGGAGGAGACCTCCAAGGGCAGTGGGGGGGACGCAATGCAAGTGGAGGTCTGAAAAAAAATCGAAAAGTTTGGAGAATCCCATGTTGACGGTGCCGTCAAAATTTGGCGCGGCGGCTTTGGATAGTCGTGGTTGCAAGAGATTTCGGGTAAGGAGACCGGGGGGGTGAGTACCTTCCCGAGTACATCCGCAGGTACCTGCTCTGTACGGTACAAGGCACGAATCCAAAGTACCTACCTTACCTATGAGGTAAGTAGTGTCCAATGTCGCAGCAAGCAGACTGGAGCAATACTTCAAGGAGGAAGGAGCGGAGAGATATGAGGCGAGGCGGGCACACAGGCGAGGCGAGACAAATGGCAGTTGGAACCTGGAGGGAAAGAGGAACAAGGCAAAAAAAAAAAAAAGCAGGCACAAACTTGGCCATCTCAGCTTACCTAGGGAAAGTACCTATCCGTAAGGTGAGGTAGCCAAGACAATGCAATCAAGCGCCGATGGCCCCCAAACTCAAAGGTATCCCCCTATCTGTGAGCGCGACCTTATTCCCATTTGGCCCAATAGAGTACTCAATCGTACACCGAGCTGTTGGACCCTGAAAACCACTTGTCAAGCTGACTCCATGGCGAGCAATGCTAGAAGAGAAAGAGAGGAGGGTGAACTCACAGTTCGCAAATTGACATTACTCGGAGACACTCCGGCAAGAGACCGAGCTCCTCAAGACAGAGTTTTTCCAATGCTCCAAGTCTCCATCTCATGGAGTCATGATGCTTGGACCCTTGGAGTGGAAGGTGGAAGGGGAACAAGAACCAGCGGAGATGGATTTGCACACTTGCGTCAAATATCACGGTGCAGTTCTTTCCTTGGCCTTGAACCCTCCAAGTTGGAGCGTGGGGCAGAATAGCGGGGATAGGTGGGACTCCATCCAGACCGATTTCCCACTGTAATTAGGCGAGGCAACAGATGTGCATTGTGGTCGGTGTCGGATCAGTCACCATCACTTCAGACTTCGCTAAGAAGTTTCCCGTTTCCGCCGCGGACCCTGTCCACGACTCCAAACTCCTCCTGATCTCACCTCTCCACCACTACCCCCTTCCACTTGGGATGTCCACACTTCGGCTTCCGTCCAAACCGCCATATCGCTCAGACAAAGGACTGCCGCCGGCTCACCATGACATCCGACCGCGTCAAGCACGCTGGCAACTGACAGTGGACTGGACGTGGGGTGAACCGCGCGGTCTCCGTACTACCTGCCATCACCTACACATTCAATCGCGAATCGCGATTGAATCACGGCTACTGGTCAGTGGCACAAACGCCGTGCCCCATATTGCTGCAAATCTTTACTCCAAGGCTCCAACGTCTCGATGATCTCGTTACTCCCGACTCGTCGTACACTCTCCGACGCGATGGAGTTGTCTGCCCCCCAATTCCTCCATCGTTGTCCCTCGCTGGCACTGTACGAGTCCACTTGGTCATCTACAATACTCTGACGACTCAACGTCTCCAACTGTGTCATACTCGGCCTACCTAGTCCTCGATGGCCACTTTCAGCCTTCCACTCGATACTCCAGCTTCAGCGTTGGCCCAGCCCTCGTGTACTCCGCTTCCTCTCTTCTCTTCATCTATCAAGCTTTCGTAGCATGGCTTTCATCATCGATTGCGATATTCGACAGTGTTCAATCGATGTTTGTACCACCTTTGCCCCAACCACGTGGGTTTGGACGCTTGGCCGGCTTACCTTATTACAATTTACTACTGCGGTTGGCGAGCCGGAGAAACAACTTGGGGGCTATGGAATGATCAGACCACCGATGGGCCGAGAGCCCGCGTCAACCTACAGGCCTCTCTTGCCTGGAGATCATCCAGATGGGCGTGTTACAACTTACGGGCTGTCTGGGTAAGGGGAGAATGGTCTAGACCACCGGTCTCCCCGCACAATGGCTCCCTCATGCGGCTCACAGCCAACCCAACTCGTGCTGCGCCCAATTTGAGCCTCTCACAGTCTTAGCGCGACGCTTCCCAAGTCTGATTCCCTTTGTTACTGGATGAGCCCGCAGCCTGGGGCATTGGACGGGAGGAGTGCGGATTTCTCGATGCAGCCCTCGATCCACAGCGGATGGAGGAATCTGCCAGACATCTCGATCTCTTTCACGCCCTTGTCCTCGACCACTCCTATGTTTCGCGCTGGCAGTCTTAAGGCGTCTGCGTTTCCGACAGCCGACTGCCTGGACACACTACAGCAAGGCCTTGGCTGAAAAGGGATGATGTTCCGGCACCGGTGGGAAAGAGTGGCCTGCAGTGCTTCAGGGCAGATTCCTGCAAGCGCGGCACCGAACATATTTCAAAGATGGAAGGATTACTGATTTTGCTGGGACTGGTATGGTCATATACGTCATGACTTTTCAAAGGCGTGATGGCGAATTTCGGCGAGCCGTTATCTCTGGCTAAACTACCACTGAGCCAGTAGGCCTCACAGGCCTTATTTCAAATTGCCATGCTGTGAGGCAGAAATGAGACATAAGACTATCCTCCAAGCCTCATACCGATATAGCTTGGTCAGATGGGATGGGTCTCGCCAACACAAATGCTATACGGATACGTGGGCATAGTAGGCGCACGTTTTCTCGAGCCACTCCACCGCCGGTGCTGAATAGGTAGCTCACTCTCTGGATTACCTACACCTACCTGCTATTGGCCTCGGAAGCGCATAGCCGCCCCCAGATCACCAGTTGAGCACGTTTCTGGTTACCCAAACTCAAGTCAGGTAGATGCGAGGGTGAGGTTACGGCAAGCTAAAGCTTAAAGCCAATTGGGCAAAGCTGGGGATGTAAGGCGAAGTTGGGGAACTGGACCGGGAGATGCGGTTGTGGGCTCCAGTATCAGCAGCCCGATGCTTCCTTTTTCCTCTTCGACTAGGTGCTGTTACTCTGTACGAATAACGCATGATCCCGTGTCGCAGCTGTGCAAGTACCCAACGCCAAACTCACAAGCCCAAAAGCGAAGGAAAAGCAACGAGAAGCAGGCAATGATCTGCTTGAGGGTCTCGAGTATTCCCGATGTTTTGCTGCGTTTATGGATAACAGGGGGTTGATTGTCTATTGATAGTACACAGCTGCGAATGCGATGCCTATCAGTCAGGTATCCGCCACCCGTCTGGCACGCCTTGTTTAGAATTTGAGGCTAGCGATCCATCAAGTGATGGGGAAAAGCCAACGTCAGTCAAGAAGGCGGCGCCAAAGCAGGAAGACAAAAAGTCTGAATTGCAGGGAGCACATGGAGCTCAAGGAGATACGACGTACGTACGGAGTAGTAGCGGGAGCGATTGTACCTGTCCCCTGTACTCTGGATGTACCGCGCCGAGTACTTCAAGCGATACGTACCGGGAGGCGACTTTGGGCGACTGGGGGAGGCCCAGGACCAATGTGGCTGGGCGTCCGGGCCAGACACGGGACTAACAAGACACCAAGACCAGAGCGAGATCGAACGAGTGGGCGAGCAAGCGCGGTCCCTGTCTCTCGTTCTTCTTTTCTGGGGCTGTTGTTCTTTCCTCCCCCATCCCCTTGCACTTTTCTTTGAAAGTTACCTTGGATTCTTTACAACACAGTCGGCAGGCAGGTACGCAAGTTGAGCAGGTCAAGTCGGCACGTTGTAGTACTTGGCAGCAGGAAGAATACCTAGCACGAGGGAGAAGCGTGGAAGTACTCTACCTTAGCCACAGACCACAGACCACAGGCCACAGTACCTTATTCGACTGCGTACCTTCTCGCCCTGTCGCTGGCTACTTGCTACTTGGCTACGTACTTGGACACAGATTGCTTCCCTTCCCTTTCCTGACTCTGTGTCTGGAAAGTGAGGTGGCTCGGCGGGTCGAGTGGCGAAATGCAAGACTGGGTCGCTCTCCATCGGATTCATCCACCTGCCGCCCTGCTCGTCTCTTGTGTTGTTTGTCGCTGCTCTACTCTTGTCACTCTGTTCTGTGAGGTCTGCTCTGCACCTCGCTCTCTCGTTTTCATTAGCCCTTTTGTCTGTCTCCGAGGTCTCCATCTGTACTAAGGTTGTCTCATACTTAGTCAGTCTGTCGGCACCTGTATCACTATGTTCATATCACCATTGAGCTACGAGTGTATGGATCAAGTAAGGTGCCTGGAGGCGGATAGTTTTCTTCCTCTCTCTATCTCACCATCTCCTACACATCATTCTCCCTCTCTGTGTCTCTCCTCATCGCTCTCTACAGTTTCTCGCTTGATTGTGACTCGGTAACTCTTGTGCTTGAGTGCCCATATCGTCGTATTCATCATAAAAACAAGACTTCCATCTACAAGTCTATCCCTGTTGACACAAGGCGACAAGCTACTTTCGTCTAGTTTAGTTCGTGGCCCGGCCAAGTGGGAGGGCCACCCGACCACATCTGTGTCCCTTGCACATCTCAGAGCGGCAGCCAAGAACCGAAGAAAAAAATCCCATCTTTCTTCATCCAATTTGATGCTACTGGTTCCAGAACGGGCACCTGGCCATGCACATCAGTTCGTTCCCACATCATGGATGCTCCCCTTACCCGCATCGCCCCTTCTACCGCCACCCCTCCCTACGGTGTGCGGTGTGTGCCCTCTTCCTCTTCCTCCTCGTCAATTCTCATCCCTCCTTCCTCTTCCCCATTCCATCTGGGCTGAACTGGCCAGGACTGAGAGCAAGGCTTTCTACCTACTAGGTACCTAGTATAGTGCTTCTGTGCCTCTGTGTGTCTCTCTCTCTCAACCTCTGCCCATTATAGATATCCCATGAAGCGGGAGGCTATGGCTCTGTCTATTCATCTCTGCCTCTCCATCTCCAATTGCACTGCTTTTCTTGTCTGCCCCCTGGCTTCTCTCTCTCTCTCTCTCTCTCACACACACACACATACCTACAGATACACTTACATTCGCACACCTCTCGTCTCTAAACCCACCCCTCCTCGAACGCCACTTAACCCACTGTCTGGCCCGGTCGTTTCCCTCTCGCCTTACCCGTCGCTCACCCAGACTCGACCTTCGACTCGTCCTGTCTTCTCTCTCACAACTGCCTCGGTGTAGTGTAGTCGGGCAGTCCTCTCTCGCTCATCAGCACTGACATCTCGGCCTCTTCCTTGTGGTATCTTTCAAAAGAAAAGGTGCGACGCATACACTACGGCAACAACGGACGCATAGCGGCGAAGTGGTTGCCGCCTACATCTCGGAGCTCTCCTCAAGTCGGCCAACGGCGCAATCTTGGAACCCACCTCCAGTGCTCCAACACCTCCTCGACAGCTCCCCCCGAGCTCGAAACTGTGGGCATTATCCTGCGCCATCTACTCTACTTCAGTACGTGCGTTTCTGGCATCCCACAACTCCTCCAACGTTTTCTCTCAAACCCCTACGCCTCAGTCGCCGCTTGCCCATAGCTTTCATATTGCTCAACAAGCAACTAGGATTCTTAGAGCCTCCACATTCTGCTTGCTTGTGCAAGATACCCGGCCCTTGGGTTTTGGCCACCATCCTGTCGGTAACTCGTCACCTTCCTTGTGCTGCTATTCCACGCCTTTCTCTTTTTTACTGCCCGGATCTCATGATAGCTGTTGCCTTCTTTCTTCCATAAATATCATTGGGCGTTGGGAGAAGAAGCACTCTTAGTGTCTCCTTCATCACGCAGCTACCACAGCAACCTCTAACTGGTACGCCAGGACTATTCTGTCTAAACCCTCGCTTACGTTGACTTGGTCTTTTTCAACCGGTCGAGTCTCGTCTTGCCATTGGGGGCTTCTCAGTCGTCGACTCTCCATACTTCTTCGTTCTCTTGAATCGAACTGGATTGGACGTCCTCTGCTGCACAAGATCACATCGTCACCTTGACTTGTATTCATCCTATCATCAAGTCCTGAGCTCGCATTCGTCTTACATCATTGGACTCGTAACTCGTCGAGCATCGATCTACCAGTACAGAGGCAACCCCTGCGTCGGCGCCCCGAAGTTCAGGTAAGAGACAGCCCTCGTTTAGTGGCAACCGCACCATACTGAAGCCGCACCTCTCCACACGATGTGCATGCCTGGAGTTCCCTAACCTAGCCCCTCGCGTCTCGTTTCTTCGTCCTTCCCGTCATCTTCGGCAGCTCCCCCCCATCACCCCGGTACCAAAGACTACGCAGTCCCCCCTGCTTCGGGCTCTTCTCTGCATTGGTATTGGACGCCCAGACGAGCTGATCGCCTTCTAGGAATTTCATTGAGCCACACATCGCACGCGCTCCTTCCTGAGCAGGGTTAACTGCCACATATACCCTTGGGCGCTCGGAAGCGTGACTTTCCAGAGGGAAACCCCCCCCTTTCCCTCAAAGGCTGTGCAAACTAGCCACATTGGCCACAACGTGGGCTTTCACTCATCTACCGCAAATAGCTCAATCTCGTTGTGGCGCCTAGAATCATACATACTCCCCGTCACATCCTGACCGTCTCTCCTCTCGTCTGGGTTTTGCTCCGTTAGAGCTGTCAGTCGACCCAGAGCTCCGGGGGCTTGGACTAGTGCTTCGCCGAAGGTATAAACTACTAGATGGACCTCAGTCTGGCTTGCTGGCGCCGTTGGTCCCGGCCGCCGACGTTTGAGCATTTTGCTAACTCGATTACGACAGTTTGTGGGCGGCTTAAACTCCGATACAGCTCGCACCAGCACCATACAAATGGGAGATGTTCAATCCCCTCCCAACGTCACTGAGTATCCTATTGTGGACTCTCACCAGGGCTTGAACGCAAACGTTGCAAGTGTTTCGCCCATTCTTCTAGACGAGAAGTCGAGGATGGAAGCTCAAGGCATCCCCCATCCGCAGCATCAGCAGTACGGCCCTCCGCAACATGCCTTTTCGTCTCAACTCGACTTGGCTCAGCAGCCCGCAGCCGGTCGCCCTGGGAATTTCAACATGAACAACATGGCGAACGCGCTGCCTCAGACAAGCATGAGGCATGGGCATTACGTGCCTGTTGGCCAGCCGCAGCATCAACAGCAGCGATTCAGCCCGGCCACATCCTCGCCTTCGATGATGCCGCAGATGCCACAGATGGCTCCTCAGTATCCTGGTCAAGGAGCGATGCCCATGGGAAACCCGCAGTACTATATGCCGCAGCACCACCAGATGCAGCACTACTACACCAACCAGCTCTCTCCGACTCAGCAGCAAGCTCGCCCAAACATGGGATACTACCCGAACCAAATGGTTATGAACCACCCGCAGCATAATCAGATCCCTCAAGGGTATTACTATCCTCCAGCTGGCCACTACTCCCAGAATCAAGCTCTTCACAATCCCATGGTCTCAGCACAGTACATGGGAACGAACACTGGACACAGCGACCCTAGGGTCATGCCTCAGATGCCCAATGGAATCGACCCTAGCGGTATGAACGCTCCCTCGAGCCACAGGTCAAGTGGTATTGCACGCCCAGTGCCAACGTGTCGGAGAGGCATCACTGACCGAATTATAGATGTGGGTGAAGGTCGATCCGGGGTTGTACGCGGGCCACCGCGAAAACCGCGCCAAAGTGGTTAGTCTTTTTGCCAGTCCAAGAGGAAAACTCGCTCGCTGACAATTTCATCAGGACATGCGATCTGGGTCGGAAATCTCCCACCTCAAACCGACCTCATGAACCTCGTCCACCACGTGTGCAAGGAGGCAAACGGCCTCGAGTCCTTATTCCTGATATCGAAGAGCAACTGTGCATTCGCCAACTTCAAAGACGAACAAACATGCGTGACGGCTCAACAAAAACTCCACGATTCCAAATTTCAGTCCGTTCGCCTAGTCAGCCGCTTGCGCAAGAGCACTGTCGAAGGCGCAACAGGTGTTACAGCACCTACAGGCCCAGCGGCGTCTTCTGGATCGCAAACGCCTCACGATGTCGCTGCACCGCCAAGCGCTACTGAAGCTAAGCCCGAAGTGGCAGTGGCAGAGTCCAATGATGTCAAGCCCGTCACCACAGTAGAAGTAACATCTCAGAAGGATAAGTTCTTCATCCTGAAAAGTTTGACTGTGGAGGATCTCGAGCTTAGTGTCAGGACGGGGATCTGGGCAACCCAGTCTCACAATGAGGATACGCTGAATGCTGCTTTTAATGTAAGCAGCATCGCGAAGGTCTAGTCTTGCATCTCTGACTTACTTCTATAGGCCGTCGACAACGTCTACTTGGTGTTTTCTGCGAACAAATCGGGCGAATATTTTGGATACGCAAGAATGACATCTCAGATTAACGAAGACCCGGACGCCGCGATCGAGTTTGCCCCCAAAGCACAGTCCGCTAACGATGTCGACTTGCCGAAAGCAATTCCTACCGAACCCACAGAGTACGCGCCCAAGGGCAGGATCATTGATGATTCGGCCCGTGGCACCATCTTCTGGGAAGCAGAGCGCGAGGACGGAGAGAGTGGTGACGAGGAAGAGGAAACTGAGGTGGAACAAAGCGATGCGAGCAGCCGTAAGAGCGGGAACCAAGAAGCCGACGGTAACACCAAGGCTTGGGGGAAGCCCTTCAAACTCGAATGGTTATCGACGGCACGACTGCCATTCTACCGTACCAGGGGCCTTCGTAATCCGTGGAACTCGAACCGCGAGGTCAAGATCGCGAGAGACGGCACCGAGCTGGAACCGTCCGTCGGAAGAAGGCTGATTGGGCTCTTCAATAGAGTTCAGAGTCCTGGTCCAGGATCAGTGCCGGCCATGCGACCCGGAATGGCGATGATTGCAGGATATCCGCCCATGAGGCCACAGTACCAACAATAACCGGCACCGTCATCGGTATTATTGGCGACATGGTCAAGACTTCATTTCTCAGGCATTAGTTGATTTGGATCCGGACTCTGTGGTTTACGATCGGTTGGACATGTTTTTACGACAACAGCCGCATATGCAGGCCATGGCGAGCGCTGAGATGGTTGGTTATCTGGATGCTGCTTCTCAATGTATCTAATCTGGCTGTCTAATTCTACCAAAGAGTTTGGTGTATGTTGCTCATGAATTTGGAGTTGAAGGGGCGCGCCTGGGCGATATGACAGCTACCGGGACAGTTGGTACGGATGGACTGGTCAACTGAGCAGATTTTCTCCATTTATCATATTCCGCCTTATGGATTTGCTTTCCCACTTGGTCCGGCGAGATGAAGGCAAAATGTAGGACTTGAAAAAGTTGGTCAACATGCCATTTCCACTGCAAATCCAAGACATGTCGTCGATCAGCTGTGGCACCTTTCTGGTGGCGACATCCACATTGTGGCTTGACCCTGGAAGGGATGAACCCGGACGAGCGTCGGGATCACGACTCGAACTGCGACCTCAAACCTTAATTGGCAAGGTTTCCTCGTCGCATAGCTCACCAGGCGCATATCATTCAATTGCCGATTTTTGGTTACTTGAAATTGATGTCAAGATGCGCGAAGTGCCCATACGGTTGATTAGGGAATATCTGTGGGATTGACTGCACCATGAGACTTTTCCGTCAGATTCAATTCAATTTTGGGATTCGTCGAAAAGTGAAGCTAGCGTGTATGATGTACCGTTGCATTTGAGTGGGCAAACTGACAGATTTTATGGTCAAGGGTACGGAGTAACACCACAATCAATTGAATCCACGGTAGGTACGGAGTAACAGGCCTTGAATTCCTGCCACTTCTTTTCTTGGTGTCCGTCCAGGCCGATATCTCGTCCAAGTTTCTGCGGCGGGGTTGCTATAATAATTGCGATGGGATGATTACTGAAGGTCTCCGTCTCTGGCGTGAGGCGAACGTTTTCCCCACGTTATGAGGTACCTTACACTACCACCACTCTGCCAGAACCACCGTATTGTGAAAGATCAAACCCCAGAGGGCCGGAGACGCTACGACGTGCGGGCTTGACCTATCCGAAGGTTACATGAGGTAAGAGCTTGACTCAGCAGTGCCGTAAGCTGCCATCGGTATCGGCTCGTCCTTCTCAAACGGCCTACTGCGTTGCAATCTTTTTTTCCCTCTCCCCCGCTCTCTCACGACCCATGGTCCCATAGAAAGTGGGCGTAGATAATTGTGCAACAGGTTTCGCGGGAACCAGACCGGACATGCAGACTAAAACGGGAGTCGCCGTGGGCTGTACCACACTACAAACCCCGATTTGTACGATCCGACACGATGATGGGGATCCCGCGGGCTGGTTTGGAATGAGAGTCTGGACCTGGCCATGGGCGATTGAGAGTCTGGACTCTTTTTTTTCGGTCGGCTTTCTGTCATGGACAGGTCTGTGTTACTGGGCGAGCTGGGGGCCGGGGAGGGGGGAGAGAGTGAAGAGGTGTCCCGGCACGGACCATCCGTTTGACGCTGGGGGACGAAATTTGATTGGACAGGTGACGGATTGCGTCTTGCTGAACCCTTGTTGGAGGCCGAAACTCTAAAAAGTAGGCGAGGTGGATGTACCGCGCGGCGACTTACAGCGGTTTCGAACCGCTCTTCGAAGGTCTGAAGATGCGAGTTCTACATTTCGGATGTTGACATGTTTATCGTAATGATCAATGAGAAAATATCGATTGATCGGAGTGCCAACGAGATACCTCAATTGAAATGCATGATTTACACTCCAAAATTCAATGGGGGTTGAGTTGAGTAATGTATCGCTGTGCAGGTGGCGAAACCAATGAAAACCGCTGGAAGGTTCCAGCACCTTCCACGCCTCCGAAGCTACCAGAACCCTCTCTCTCCCATCATGAGGCCATCGTCAAAGAGAAGCTTACAGATCCCTCCAGAATAGGCTTTCACAGCATGCGCGTCTCTTCCCCAACGTGCGAGTCCATTCTCGAAGGGCCTTGCAACGAATTCTATGATTTTTCAGCGATGTTTCCGGAACGCTGGGGAAGGCACGATGGTGCCTGCTTCAATTGTATAAATCGGTCGTCTTGATCGCCTCTTACACCGATTTCTTCTCATCAGATCAGAACAACAACAAGCACTCACAGCTACAACTCTCTCATACACACATTAAAACAACCAGTTCTCGCAACCACTGCAATTTTTCTACTCATCAATCAATTCACCATACAACCACTTCACACCCTTATAACAACCAACAACAACAACACCATCAAAATGGCCTTCTTCCCCCGCAACTTCTACAACTCCGACGCCTCCTTCACCCCTCTCTTCCGCCTCCTGGAGGACTTTGACAACTATTCCCGCCAGGGCAACGGCACTCCCTCCAGCGGCGCCCGCGGCACCCACCGCAACCACGTCCCGACCTTCCAGCCCAAGTTCGATGTCCGCGAGGTCGAGGACGCCTACGAGCTCCACGGCGAGCTCCCCGGCATGAGCAAGGACGACGTCTCCATCGAGTTCACCGACCCGCACACCCTCCACATCCGCGGCCGCGTCGAGAGGTCTTACACCGCCGGCACCCCGCCCGCAGGCCTCCTCCAGCAGTCCTCCGGAGCTGAGATGAGCGGCGCCATCACCGACGGCAGTAGCAACAACGACGCCGCCAGCACCACCACAGCCACCGGTACTGAGCGCCCTCGCTCGCCTCACCAGGCTACCGTCGAGGATGAGGAGGACGACGAGACAAACTCCACCGCGCAGCCTACCCCCGCCACCACCGTCGCCGAGGTCGACAAGTCTGCCTCTGCTGTCGCGCATCACCACCAGCACGCCGCTGCCAAGAAGGAGCCCGTCGACAACGCAAAGTACTGGGTCTCGGAGCGCAGCATCGGCGAATTCAGCCGGGTCTTCAACTTCCCCGGCCAGATCAAGCAGGACGCCGTCTCGGCTGGGTTCAGGGATGGTATCCTTTCCATCCGGGTGCCCAAGGCTCCCAAGCACGAGACTCGCCGCATCTTCATCAACTAAAAGACGACCATGACTATAATCCTTCCAATTGTACAACACGACAATAATGAGAATCGAGTGAATAGGAAACGGGACTTTGATGGAGGGATGAGCATTAATGGGTCTCTTGCATTGGGATTGGTGTTTCGGGTTTCTTTCTTTCCTTCGCTATATACTAGCAATGATAATGAAACAAGTTTAAAAACCAAATGATTGGATCCATTTATAATTCGTGACCGTATCTGATTGTGAGCTTAACATGACTTCAGACGGTAGAGTGATGATATCTAGCCCAGCTTGAGCTGGAGGCTTCAACGCATAGGAGGGCTGCTGCAAGCTCTCGAACACATTTGCCGCTGATGCATACAGTAGATCAAACGAACAGAAGCTTGGCATTGGCATGCGGCACAATTACGAATGCCTTATCTTGAAGAGGTCATGAGTAGCAATTGTCGTGCTGTTACCTTGGGATGATGTCTGTGGTGAGTTTGATAAGGGAAGCACGGAGCGTCTTAGTATGACGCTAACTCCAGGCACACGGTGGGGCCGACCGGCTTCTTAATTGCCGCACGTGATTTGGCGTATTTTCTTCTCAGTCAGTCGCCACCACCAGTCATCCCCGACGCGTCTTAAGAGCCCGCGTTTCGCCCACCATCAACAATTTGACAACTGTATGACCACCTATCCTTTTTTCGACATCCGACTTTGCGCGTGCACTGCTGTAATTCTCCTCGTGTATACACAGTCCGACGTCCCAATCTTACATCTACGAGCACAATGGCCGACGCTGACGGCTACGACGAGAGCCACAATGGCGATGAGAGCGGCATGACCGGGCCCGGCGCGCCTACGCCACTCACTGCGCTTGAGGTAAGTTCCGACCAGACTGCCTTCACGTTGTATATGACGTGCTGATGAATACGTCGGAAAAGGGAGTTGCTGGCTTGACGAAGCGCGATATCCAAATGGTCGTCGACGGCGGCTTCAACACCGTAGAATCAGTAGCGTACACCCCGCGCCGCATGCTGGAGCAGATCAAAGGCATTTCGGAACAAAAGGCAACCAAAATTCTCGCCGAAGGTATGAAACTTCAAGTAACACATTCGTGCGAATCAATCTGACTGAAGGGAACCAGCCTCGAAACTCGTCCCAATGGGCTTCACGACCGCCACGGAGATGCACCAACGCCGAAGCGAGCTCATCTCTATCACGACTGGCTCCAAGCAGCTGGATACACTTCTCGCCGGTGGTATCGAGACCGGATCAGTGACTGAGCTGTTTGGAGAGTTCCGCACGGGAAAGAGTCAGATTTGCCACACTCTTGCCGTGACATGTCAATTGCCCTTTGACATGGGTGGCGGAGAGGGCAAGTGTCTGTACATTGATACTGAGGGTACCTTCCGACCCGTTCGACTGCTGGCCGTCGCCAACAGATTCGGTCTCTCCGGAGAAGAGGTCCTCGACAACGTGGCCTATGCTCGCGCGTACAATTCAGACCACCAGCTTCAGCTTCTCCAGCAAGCTGGTGCCATGATGTGCGAGACCCGATTCTCGCTCCTCATTGTGGACAGTGCGACGGCGCTCTACAGAACCGATTTTTTGGGTCGAGGGGAACTCTCGTCCAGACAGACTCACCTGGCCAAGTTTATGCGCACGCTTCAGCGTCTTGCCGACGAGTTTGGTATTGCCGTGGTCATCACCAACCAAGTCGTCGCACAGGTTGATGGTGGACCGAGTGCTATGTTCAACCCCGACCCGAAGAAGCCAATCGGCGGTAACATTATCGCCCACGCAAGTACGACGAGAATTAGCTTGAGGAAGGGTCGAGGCGAGACTCGTGTCGCCAAGATCTACGACAGCCCCTGTTTGCCGGAGAGTGACTGTCTCTTTGCGATCAATGAGGATGGCATCGGTGACCCAAGCCCCAAGGACCTGGAGAAGGAATAGTGTAGGTACGTATGGGTACGGGACGACTGGACGAAAGTAGCTTGTGATGGTGTTATGCGCATATGAGTGAGCTTTGATACACCCCCGGGTTGGGAAAGATGGCATGCATTGGTGCTGGCGTTGGGTGGCAATCGTTACACTGGAGTTGTGGTATTTCTGCTGCCATTTGTGCAGACTAGGTGCAGAGCATTAGCTAGAACGGTAATGAATCAAAACGTCTTCGAAATATTTCCTATGGGCATCAACAGATGCATCGTCGTTGCTCCCCTGTGTCCACCTTGTCTAGAATTATCATCTCCTACTTTCTGAGAATCATGTCGAGCGTGTACAGTGTGGAAACCGTTTGCGTGTACTGCAGCACTGTATCAAGCTGGTTGCTGTTTTGGGAGTAGCCCCACCGGGCGCGTAGGAGCCTTCAAACTGGAAATTCCATCAACTCAATCGCGACGAACTTTCTGCTGCCACAGATTGCTTAATGCGCCGAGCCCGATCCGCGACTACCGCGGCCTCTTTCTCTCTCTCATCTCCGGCGTTTGAGGTCTTTGCAGGTTAGGGGCAAAACGAAAATGGATTCCGCCGACACCCAATACTTATACCGAGAGACTCGTCTCAATCTCGAACCGGCCTCCGCCTCGTCCATCATCAACATCCGCGTCCCCTCGCTGACGTCGAACGGGAGGGGCGCGACCCGCAAGCTCACATCCGGCGACAAGAACATCAGCGAAGACGAAGTCAACTTCCGGCTCAAGAACCTCGCTCCCGCTTCGTCCGTCTACCACCGCAGATGGCACGATGCACCGCGCAGCTTCCTCTGGAGGCTGCTGGACGACGGTCTCGTCCTCAGCCTGCGGGTAGTCGATACCTGCCGACAAGAGAAGACGGTAGATGCGCCGCTGATTCTCAATTTCCGATTCACGGTGCCGATTCAATCGTCCTGCGTTGCGTTCGCCGACCCCCGAGAACATGATGCGCTCTCCATGTTCGTGCTCGACGAGGCCAACTGCCTGTACACCTTCACTCTCCGCCCCGACTTCTTCAGGAAGCGCTCCGCCATCGAGGCCGGCCCGGGAGATGCCTGCAAGGTGTACCAGCCAAAGGTCTTTGGGTTCAAGCACCCGCATCGCATGGTTGCCGCGAGCACCGATCAGATTGTCATTTCTCTTCACGACGGCGGGCTGGTGAGGTTGGACCGGAATAAGACACAGGATTGTATGTCACTTCCCCTCGACTGCTGCTACCACAACGAGAGCTCCACACTAACTTGTACATAGCAACGAGCAACCCCTGGAAGGAGACGATCTACAATTCACAAGGATGGGCGCAGGGCATTCGAAGCTATCTCCCGTTCCAGCAGAACCAGTCTATCCGATATCGCAACATCCACATGGATGCGAGCGCGGCGACGTCGATACAGGTTACGAACCTGGGCCTCGATGATGCGGCGTTTCTCTTCACAGTCTGTCTCGACCATCGCATGCGCATCTGGAACCTGCGGACAGGCCAGATCTTGTTTACCGGCGACATACTGAACTCTGATCGCAACCCGCAAGAAGTCGGCAAGTGGCAGATTGAACCCACACAGACAAACTTGTTGCAGCTGGTTGGCGACGGAACAGGCAACAGGATGTGCGCCACGTACTCGCCCATCGGGGCTGGGGAGTTCAAATTCTGGAATATTAAAGCCCGCGACAGCGACACCGTTTACGTGGAAGATGCGTTCCCTGATACCCACCTCACCCCATCGTCACCGTCGCTCTCAGATGTGTGGACCCTGGCGGACTTTGTTCTTTCAACACTGGCAGATGGCGGTATTCAGTTGTGGACATTGTGGAAGAACAATATGACCTACAGAGTCCAGGAGCTGGATCTCAACAGAGACAACATCGCCGAGTCATGGGAAAGCGAGTGGGCGTCAGTCCACATTGACACGAGCTATCCCACCGCGCCGACGTCCGGATCCTCTGACCCTACAGACCCGACAGAAAAGTGGTTGGATCTTATTCTCGCCCCTGGCCGCTTCACCAAAGCGACCCTCGAAACAGCTCTATCCATATACGAGAAGGGGCTTTATTCTCAAAAGGAGGGCAGCTCGAAGAGCCAACAAAAGGGCCTGGCAGAGTCAATTTGCTCTGTTCTTGCCTCAACAGCATCCTTGGACCGGAACTCGGCTGGTGGTATGGATTATGAGCAATTCCGTGCTAGCAGCGAGACCCAGTGGAGGAGATTTTACCGTCTTCTGATCGAGTTGGACAAGCAACGTGGTGAGGCAGTTGCACTGGTTCTCGATGCAGAATCCGACATGACGTGGGTTGTGTGTGCCGATGCAATCTCTGCCATCAGAGAGTGCAGCTCACTGGAGCGTCTGTACTATAATCTCTCACGACCAGATGAGGCCTCGGAGAGGATAGCAAACCTTGTGTCGACGGGCGTCGGCTTCCTCGATGCTATTTCGGACAGTATACAACAGGTCTGCACCGCCGCCCTGCGACCTGAGATTTACGAGGAGACCCCTCGAACGGACTATGAACGACTCCAATACCTCTTTGACACCACTGCACTTTGGCGCACTGTAAGTGACGAAGACTGCGCACAGGTCACTGAGAGTCTGGGACAGTCTTACACCGGTGTTACGATGGATCTATACGAAAGCCTCTCGGGCTTGATTGCGGCTACAGAGGAGTCTGGAAGCCGCAAGGCCCGTCAACCACTGACCGACTTTGGACGGAAGCTCATTGTCAAGGCCGTTCAGGAGACGATTGATCTACAGTGGAACATCATCTTCAGCCAGGTCCTACTTCTGGTACACATGGAGTTCGACTGGGATCAAGAGGAAGACATGCTCTCTAAACGAATTGACGTCGGCGCCGTGTTCAGACAGTTCCTCGAGTCACTTCGTCGGTTAGAGCTGCTTCGATGGCTCTCCAAGACCGAAATCACCGTTCCTATTGGCAACAAGAACGAGCGCAATGACTCTTTCTCAGGCTCGCCCAGCACCACAAAGAGGACTGCAGAGGAGACGCAGACCGTCACCGCGTTGGAGGGTAATGTCGGTCATCTTCTTGGCTTTGTCGACGGCAGAAATGAGCCTCTGGCTACGAGTATCACAGACATCGTCACGGATCTCTGTGCCTCCAACAGCGATATTGAGGTGTCACCTACTTTGATCCAGTGCTCCCTCATCAGAAGAGAGCGGGCCGATCTTGCTCTTCAACTCAACCCCTACTGCGCTCAGACGCCATTCGCCATCTACATCCAGGGCCGCGTTTTCCTTGCGCTGAAAGACTTTGCTTCGGCCGCCTTCCACTTCCGTAAAGCAGCGATAGGCATGAGTAAGTTCAATTTGCCCCTGCTGTGTAGAAAACTAAACTAATGTTAGTGACAGGCGTCAAAGACGTAGATGTTGACCGACACAGCAGCGGGCTGCTTGACGATACTGAGTGGAACCTGCTCAACAAGGGGCCGGCTAGGTATTACTGTCACGCAGTTGCTCTGTTCGAGAAGGCCAAGGCATACTCATATGTGATCGAGTTCGCCGGACTCGCAATTCAATACTCACACGCCAGTCCCGAAGCTGCCCTGGTCAGAAACGAGATGCTTAGCCGACAGTTCAATGCGGCGACGGTACTCTCACGTTTCGACGTCGCCCATGCTAGTCTACTGGCCATGAAGGATAAGGCGATGCAGCTCTCCTCTCTGCGCAAGCTCGTCGACAAGATGTGCGAATCGTACCACAACAGCGAGCTCATGTCGCTACCGTTCCCGGGTCTACAAGACTCGATCGACGACATTCTGGCACAAAGGTGCAAGGCAACGATGGATGTCCTGAGCGGCATCCCATACCACCAGATCCTTTACTCCTGGAGGATTAAACACAACGACTACCGCGGTGCCGCTACGGTGCTGCTCGACCGTATCCAAAAGCTGCGACACGCCGGCGAGGGCGATAAGCTCATTGGCGAGGACATTCTCGATACGGCGGTCACGAAGCAGTATTTGCTACTCATCAACGCCCTCAGCTGCGTCGATCCGAAGCAAGCGTGGATCTTTTCCGAGGAGTTGCCGCCTCCCAACGTTTCGAGGGAGTCGACGACCTTCCAGGGCAAGCGCAAGGTCGTTACGTTACCGGACTTGCGCAAGCAATACCAGGACGAACTCGACCGGATCGCAGCCATCCAGAATAACCAGTTTGGGTTTGAGGCTGATGATGCAATGGACATTTTGTAAATGGATGAAATGAGCAAAGAAACAAGAAAAGTTAAAAGGGCAATGCGGGCCAAAGGGGTGGAGGAGAGGTTACTTCGTTGGGGATGGAGATGGAGAGAGCATGTGTACAAGTAATCAAGAACGCGCGATCCTGGACCACACAAGAATGATCCAGGACAACCAGATACCTTTACGAATTGCATGCATTGGGTTTTGTTTCTTCGGTAATCGGTCAAGGTCCTAGGTAGATGAAGAAAAAGAATTTCATTGTTTGTTGTATCAGTGCAGCAGACCCCAGCTTTGTTTACCCCAAACGCCGTGACCTATGCTTAAAACTACGTGGGACGGTCTTGAGGAGGACTGATCCTCCATTGGCAGCAGCCACATCATACAGAATAACCTCCCCCCCTTCCCCCTATTTCATCAAACAACTCATTACTTGTAAACCATGGCGTCATTCTTCAGATACTTCTATGCCTGAACAGACTGGCCCATCAGCTTTGGGTTCTCGGGGGCGGCGGCCATGATCATGTTAGGACCGGCGGCGGCGTCAGGGGCTTGGCGGTAGAGGATGATTTCCGACTGCTTGAAATACCGCCGCGCATCTGGTGGTCTACTGTTAGCCTGCGTTGACTTGACCAGGAAAATAAACATGGACGGGGGGGCTTGTGTCGTGACTTGCCTTCGTCGATGAGCACGAGACTGAGGTAGTACCGGGTGGAGAACTTCTTGTTCACGTCCCGGAACGTGGGTGTCAGGTCGAAGCCGCCGAGGAAGAGGCGGATGGGGATCGTCTCTCCTCTCGAAGGCGAGCCATCCATAATCTTTGTGCCAAGAAAGTCAGTACACAGGACCATTGAGAATTGGAGGAGAGCATTATCGGGATCCGCAAACTCACCTCGAACCGCACCAGGGTCTCGCTCTCATTATACTGATTCGGCGCCGCGCCCGTCGTCTCCCTCCGGATGATGGACAGCTCCATGTGTTTTATCTTGAGGCGGACGAGCAAAAAGTATATGCGCCCGACGATAACGTCCTTTAGGTGGTATTTGGATTTGGAGTACTCGAACTCGATGTGGAGGCAGTCCTCGATGCCGACGTCCATCTTGATGGACGAGTTCATCTCGGGGGGTATGCGGTACGAGTAGACCCAAATGTCCTTTTCGCGGATGACGTCGGCCATGCGGCGGGAGACGGTGACGCGCACAAAGTAGCGCAGCTTGACGTTGATGCCATTGTACGACTCGTACTGCTTCTCGACGTTTTTGAAGTTGAAGTCGAACGTCTGCGGGTGCTGCAGCTCGCCCGGGGCCGCGAGCTCCTGGACGAGGGAGAGGAATTCGTAGTGGTTTCCGCGGTCAAAGAACATTTCTGCGCAGAGAAAAAAAATGGGAGTATTAGTATTGGACGAAAGACGGGAGAGGTTCTTGGGGTTCGCTCGCTCAGAAAGACTCACCTATCGTGCCGATGAATTGGACCTTGATGCCGGTGTGTTCTAGCCGCTTGCCGTCCTTGGGTCTGATGGTGACGGCGCCCTTGACGGACTCGCCGTCCATGTACAGCGGCGCCTTCTCGCGCCGGTTCTTGTCGAGCTTGACATCGACCATGGACCGCTCGTCGGCGTCCTCCAGCACAATGTCGATGTCGACGGGGGTTGAGAAGAAGTACGACATCTTGGCCTATGCGGGGGAATGCCCGGATCTCGCGCGATTGTGTCGTTTCGATGCTCGGATATAAAGGGGGCGACGGATCCAAGATCCCAATGGCTACTGATCGGTCGGCCCGTCGAGCTTGGAATTTAAAGATTAAGTTGAATTGATATCGGGGCGTCGGAGAAGGAGGTGTCGCGGAGCTTCAAGGCTGACGTATCTATATCTGTACGTGCACTCACTCGGCTTGCGCTGCTCCAGTTGCGCCAGCCCGGGCAGCTATCGAGAGTGGGCAGCAACTGGAGCTGTAGAGAGTGCATCCTCCCATTGGCTGGTATTGACACGTGACTCTGCCAGGCAGTCATCTTCAGTAATTGAGGCTGGTGACCCGGAGCTGTGGCTGGAGCTCAACGGCCATATCCCGGACGCTCCAGGTCCGTTCTGCTCCACTTGACCCGGGCAGCCGGGCGGTGGGCCAGGAATCCAATTACGCACAGACCATAATTTTGCCCTCACGTGCACACAAGCCCTCGCTAGAACTTTTGCACCCCACACCCGAAAATTGAATCGCGACTGCCAGGCTCCCCGACTTGGAACTTTTTTGAAAGTGAAGAATTGTCCCTCATCGCCCAACGAACGACCAGTCGCCCAGTAGATCGCCCAGCCGACAGCCCTCCTCCCCCCGACGTCAAGATGAGATACATCCACTCCCAAGAGAGCCTGACGGTTCCCGAGAATGGTATGTGAAGCAATGCCGTCGTCGTCGTCTCCTTGACGACCGATTGAGCACACAATACGACGAAAATACTCCTCTCCCACGATGCGGCCCCCTGCGAGCTCCGCCGGGTTTTGAACTTCACGATACTATATCACCTATTTGTCGCCATTCGCACTTCGAGTCTCTCGCCTTCCTCTGTCATGGTCGCAACCTCGATGCCTTTGGCAACATGGTTGCTGGCGCAAAAAAATGGAAAACCACAATCACAACACAATGGCAGAGGGATTAGGGAGGCTTGAGGCGGACAAAGCAACATTTGGGTTTTTGGGTTGAAGAGTTTTAGACTGTGGATGAGCTCGAAAGGAGCAGTAGTGGCAGGCAATCGAATGCATGCTGACTTGGATTCTCCAAACAGTCAAGGTTCACATCAAGTCCCGCATCGTCACCGTTGAGGGCCCCCGTGGTAAGTACAAGACCCTCTTCCGAACGCGATATGTCTCGAGACATCGCGAGCCACCTCTTTTAGCTGTCTGTAGTCTGCGCAAGCAGAGCGCAACGGCTCGAGTGAGGCAGCACCCCTCACCAGGTCATTATGGCTAACACCCGTCACCAGGCAAGCTCGTGAAGGACCTGTCCCACTTGGCTGTCAACTTCTCCCAGCCGGTCAAGGGCACCATCAACATTGAGATCCACCACGGCTCAAGAAAGAACGTTGCCACCCTCCGCACCGTCCGCACCCTCATCAACAACCTGATCGTCGGTGTCACCAAGGGCTTCAAGTACAAGATGCGCTACGTCTACGCCCATTTCCCCATCAACGTCAACCTGGAGAAGGACTCCGAGACTGGTCTGTGGGAGGTCGAGATCCGGTATGTTTGCATAGTACCCTCACATCTGACGGTTAACAAGAGACTAACATGTGCACTTTAGCAACTTCATTGGCGAGAAGCTCGTCCGCAAGGTCATCATGCGCGAGGGCGTCGACGTCGAGGTCTCCAAGGCCCAGAAGGACGAGCTCGTCCTCTTCGGCAACTCCCTCGAGGCTGTCTCCCAGTCCGCTGCCGATATCCAGCAGATCTGCAAGGTCCGCAACAAGGATATCCGTAAGTTCTTGGACGGCATGTACGTCTCCGAGAAGGGCAACATTGAGGAGGAGGCTTAAATGCATCTTTTTCCACTCAACGTTATAAATCCCTCTCGATGAATCAATAAAAACGAAGGTATTGATTGATGTATGAGCCGGAGGAGGGGAGCAAAACCAAAACAAAAAGGGTCAAAACAGGTCATGTTTTTCGAGGCAAATGCAAAAATCAAACTGGGGTTTCTGGGTCTTACACACAACACAATTGGCGTGGCCGGGGTTCCATTTTTTCACTTTGCATCGTGTAGCGCAGGGCTACCATGAATCACATCAAAAGTCAAGAAGACGTTGCCTGCTCCCCTCTCTGAGCAGTATATCCCACAACACCTCTTTATATACCCTACTCGCATGAGACACTCTTCATGGTGAAATGATACCCACTCAAACTTGAAAAGAACCTTTCCTCAATGGCTGTAATATGAACCAACGTGTTATATGATACGACATTCTTCACACTGTGGACAATGTCTTATCTACATACTCTTTACTGCTTGTGAACGAGATTTTCGCCGCTATTTCAACAGCAAAGTGAGAAACTCGTGATGGTGTGATTCTTGACTTATCCCGCCATCCCGATCAGTCAAGAGTTCAGCCAAACTTGACAAGATTATGGCTTCATCAGAGTTGTCATCCTCCTGCTAGACTCTCGCAGCACGTCTTGACAAGCACGCAAACAATATGAGATTTCCCTCTTCAGATGCTACGCCACTCAACTCAACTCCATTTCCATACATCAACACAGCATTGCCAAAGTTCGCGACACCAAAAGAGAAGGGAAAAAAGGACCAAATCACTTCAGGCCAAAAGAAAATGACCAGCCTGGGGGTCGAACCCAGAATCTCCTGATACTTTGTCAACGTTTTCCTCGCCCTAAACGAACGAGGGTAAACGAAATCGTAGTCAGACGCCTTGCCATTGGGCCAACCGGCCACTAGCGAATAGTGGGATGAAGAACAAGAGAGCGGAATCCCCTCTGTGTTGGTAGATGCTCCACGAGGAGGGGGGGAAGAAAAAAATCTCTTTCCCGTAGGTGGAGATCTCGCATCGCAGACTTACACCTAGACTTAGACCTCATAGACCTCGTAGACCCGACAAAACGCACACGCATAGACGTGCGCATCGGACGGCCCAAACGCGAAAACACAGACCGCACATGGAAACCTCGCTTTGTTCCATGCATGGTCAAACGGCGCTCGCAGTGCGCAAGCGCCGCATGTTCATCTCAACTTTGTCGACACTTACACGGCTTCCCCGAGAAAGCTTCGGCAGTGTCGCTGCATACACAGTTGAGCTTGAACCAACAACACGACAGGAAGGCGACACGGCAACGAGCAGGTGCTGTAATCAGGAATGCCCAATCGAAAAATTTAGTTTCCATTCCATGCATTAAGGGCGTCGAGAAGTTTCGTCTATGCCATCAAATCGTTCTGAACATCGTACATGCTATGCGGGTTTTGGAGGATGGGTAGACAAAGTGGGCCACACCAAGGAAAATGAAGTAGGAAACGCTCAAATGTCCAAAGAGATGACCCTCCTCGCATCCACAGTCTTCGTGGCCATTTCCAAGCCTCTTCTTCTCTCCACCCGATTTTCATATCTCTCGTCAGTCTTTCATTTCCTCCCTCTTCGTCGCCGAATGTCTCGTCTCTCGTGCCTTGTAGTTTCCATCACCGTGCTATCAGAAGCCCGGTGGGATTATGATTTCCCCCCTTAACGCCAAAAAGAAAAATAGAAAGCAATAATACCAATTTATGTACGTTCAAAGCATGTTCGGGGCTTCCGCAGCCTTGTAAAAAAGGCAGCCGACAGCATATGCAATTCGACCGAGGTCGCAAATGAACTTGGGGTGCTACCTCCGTGAGTGGCGCGTCGTGTGTGTGCCGCGTGTGTGGCCGGTGCGGTGAGTTCTTCCACCCGAGCTAGAGCTGCCTAGGTAGGACGTCAGATCCGATCGATCCCGAGAATCCCATGAAGACTCACTGGGACTTGTCCCCGTGTACGAGTAGTACGAGTCGGTGTAGCTTGACCGAGGCTTGGCCTTCGGCTTGTCCTTCTTAAGATTTAAGAGCGCCAACATGGTCGCTGCGGCGGCTCCCAGGCCCAACCACTTGGCGCCTTCCTTCTTCTCTTCCTTGCGACGAGCAGCTGGGGCGGGACGACCGCCACCTGCGAACCAGCCGCCGTGCGAGGGGCGACCAGAGTGGGCAGATGGCATGCGGCTGCCGTGACGCGAGTATCTCTCCTCAACCACCTCGACTCGTTCGCGGCTGTGGCTGTGCTCCTTCTTCTTCTTGCCAAAGATGAGACCCCACAGGCCGCGGGCGATACAACAGAAGCAGAGAAGCATGAGAAGACCGAGACCTGCAAGCGTGCCAATAACAATACCGGCGATGGCGCCGCCGCTCAATCCTCCACCAGTACCCTCGTTGGTGATGGGTACGACTGTGCCGGTGCTGGTTGCCGAGGCGGCGGTGCCGGTGGCCCCGGTGCTTGTGATGCGGTAAGGAGCAGAGTACTGGGTAGTGATTGTATGGCCTCCCGATGTAATTGTAGTGACACCGCCGCCCCAGCCATCGCGCTGAGCGCATTGCCCTGAGTAGGCACAGTACTGGTAGGCGGCGCAGCAAATGCTGCCACAGGCCGTCTCTCCAGTACTCTGAGGAACACAGGTGGCCCCGGTGCCTCCCCCAGCTGCCCCTGTTGTCACTGCAGGCCAGTTTGTCGATATTGTGCTGGTAAAGGTGTTCGTCTCAGTCCATGTCGTGGTATAAATGCCGTAGCCTCCACCTCCGCTCACGGTGCTGCAGCCAGCGATGTTGTTAACGGTGTAACACTGCTCTCCAGATCCACAGCAGTACTGAGAGTCGGCTCCACAACGTTGAACGCAATCGCGCTTCATAAAATGGTCGCCCAAGTTGTAAAACAGGTTGTTTGCGACATTCTGGAGAGGATAAGGGTGGGCAAACACCGGAGTGGGGGCGGACACCAAGAGAAGAAGGCCGGCGACCAGAGGGGCCGCGGCCGACTGCTTGCGCCGTGCCATTTTTTCTGGCGGAAACCGCTGCTCGGCGTCGTCAATTGCCAGGAATGCGCAAGGCCGGAAAGACGGCGAAGTGAGAATGTAAGTCGGCTCTCCCCACGATTGCCAATTTTGTTCGGTCAATGGCGATATCGAGAGGTCCTGTCTTGTTTCGTAGCCTCGTGGGCGCCCCAAAGATTGCGAGAGTGAGGAATGTTGTAGCGGTAGGATGAGGTATTAATGGTTGGCGGGGAATGAGAAGAAGAGGGAGGGTAAGCTGATAGTATAGGTAGTCGAGGTGTGATTGAGTGGTCGCGGTGTGAGCTGGCCAACCTTAGCCTGTTAGTGTGCAGAGGTATTGGCAGGGACTGAGAGCTTGGAATGTGATGATTCTTGGATTAGATGGGAAGAAGGAACCAAGAAGTCGGGAAGAATGAAACCTGCAGGTAAGTTTGATTTAAGAGAGAGGGAGAGATTGAGAAGGCGCTGACTGACGGGAGTGTCGTATTACTTGGTTTGGGCAGTGGGATTGTCTTTTTTTTCTTGGCCGTTGCGCGGGTCGATTCCCAACCTCCTTGAAGTCCAACCTCTTGATTTTGCTGCCGCTGTCACCAGGCGCACCCACACTTCTGACACCCACAATACTACCCTCAAATAATGCAAAGTTCCGCAGGGATCTAGCTTCACCGATTAGTTTCTGGCCAATCTCTGACGAGGGTGATTGTGAAGATTCCTCCTGAGTGCGCGATTCCGTCACACTTGCTGCTTCTTTTTCTGTTCTTGTTCCTGAAGATCGGGCGCCGAGATGTGGTTCCCGCTTCACTTAGACCAAGACACCCGGGACAGACGAGGGTTATAAGTGGCCTAGTGCGGGGAGATGCCTGTATGAGTTGGCAGAAACGGGTCGTTACTCGCTGATAGCACCTTCGTGACTGGCCCGGCCCAGAGCGCCTTGGTTCCCACTTGTTTACCTGCAGGGGTCGGTCCGTCCACTGGACGACAATCGATAGGCAGAGAAAGCCTGTTCCAACCCAAGTGTACGAATACATACTCATGGCCGTAACAATGGACGGGAGGTGCGATTGTTTGCCCTGCCGTTTGTCACTCTCACTGGGCCGGCCCCGTCAGGTACCGTTTCGCAGGCTTGTCACTCGCAGCCGAGTAACGCAGCTAGCGAGCTCCTTCCTTCCTTCCTTGGCTGGTTTACCAGAAGCAGGCGATCCGGGCTTACCTAGGTACTCTTGCCATCTGGTGGTGCCTTGCAACCATTGGCAGGGACGCTTTTTAGCCCATCGTGAGCTGCTTCAATGAGATCATGCTCATTTCCGCGCTGTCACATTAGTCTCCGTGTACATCGGATCTAGTGCGGTGGTCATGACCTCTCGTGACAGAAGTTCTAGGGCAGAGGAAGCGGTCTTTGACTCGTATAGGGCAGATTGGCAGCGCCATGACAGCTCTTGCGCTGGCTTCTGGCACCACGACGAGATCGCGGCAGGTGTCAGTCCGTGGGTTCCGCAACTTTGACGGCATCAATTGTGCAAGTAAGCCCGACCGGCGGGATGGGACTCCGCGGCACCCAGGAGGGGTCATCGCCAAGTAGGCCGTGAAGTTCTGGCCAGTGACGCCTTTTTAAGATTCAAGGGACTTCTTTTCCGTATGTGCCTTGCATATTGGCGTGGGCCAGTCTTTCGTACAAGGGTCATTTGTGTAGAGGGAAAAAAAGAAAGATGAGCAGTGTTCAGCTTCATCTGGCGAGCCGAGTATCAACGATAACTGCACTTGGGGAAATCGGGTGGTTGGGAACCGGGGCAACTGGGTCGTAGTGCTATTTGAAGCAACAAAGTGTGTAAGACTAAGAGGGCAGTGAGCCAAGCTTTAGGACGGATTCAAGATTGAGGAAACCGCACCGCCACGACGCTCAATCGAGTTGGTCAACTTCATTGGCTAAGCAGAGCTTTGGTGGGTCACTAGGAGCTGCCACATGTGGCTTGCGTAGAAATGGACCTCGAGCCAATCATATGTCATCAGCCTGACGCTGTGACTTGAGCAAGGAAGTGACCCAAAAACTGGGCGGGCGCGGCTGCGGCTTGAGAGCATTACGTTCGTCAGACAGCTTCCTGCCGCAACGACCTGCGACCCTCAGCACCGCCGAATCCATCCACGCCGTTCATCTTCAACCCCCTCCTCGGCGACATAGGTGCATCTTGAATCCAAAAAGCCGCCCGGGTCGCCACTTCCCTCGACTCGCCGCCATGTCTCTTGATCCTCCCACCTACCTGGCCTCGCTGCAGAACAACATCCGCCAGCGGCCAATCCCCTGGGATGGCGCTGTTAGAGCAGGCACCATCACAGAGGACCACCTGGCCCGCATCCGCGCTGTTGATAAGGCGAAGAAGCCCGAAGCTCGGAAGGAAATTGTAGAAGGAGATCTCGATGGCTACCGCTCCCTCTTTGTTGGTGAATCTGGAAAGCCCTCGGTGCTCGAGTCCGCAGGCAAGCAAGCCAATGTCGTCCAGTATATCCTCGTCCTCTTGGCGGACCTCTTGCCCAGTATGTTCTATTCCATCCCCCATTGATTCGCCAATCCATCATTTTGGCCAGACTCTACCTGTCCTGTCCTAGTTTCCCTACAGATTGTTATATCTCGACGATCTCTTCATATGCCTCAACCCCGCTAATACTGTCGTCTTCCCAAATAGGTGTACCGTCACTCTCGAAGGCTATTTTCAAAACCACCGACCCCTACAAGCACTTTCTACCTTTGCTTGCCCACTCGAATAATACCGAGGACCCTATCCCCTTGCTTACATCAACGGCTCTGACCAAGCTCATGTCGCTCTCATTGAACGAATCGCAGGCGACCCGAAACGCCATTCCCGTGCTCCTCTCCTACCTATCTGGCCTCGCGAAGAGTTCTGATGCAGGCCTTCAGGATATCGCGGTCCAGGAATACTCCTCCATTCTCTACGGACACGCCGCGAGACAACAATTCTGGAACCAAAGAAGCGAGACGATTGCGCCTCTGATTGACATCCTCCGAACAGCAGCTGGCATTGGCAGCAACGGTAGCTCCTCGGCAAGCATATGGAGTGGGACCGCGCCCACAAGAAACGCCGGGTTTGAGGGTTCACTCGGCGGCGGTGTTGGCTTGCAATTGCTATACCATGTGCTACTGGTCATCTGGCAAATGAGCTTCGAAGCCGAAGATATTGGTGACGAGCTTAACGAGTAAGTACACTCTAGTCGTATGGCTTTCACCAACTGATCATGTTCAGCGAGTACGATATTGTCTTGCTGTACACCCAGCTTTTGCGCCTCTCTCCCAAGGAGAAGACGACCCGATTGGTTGTTTCTACCCTTTTCAACTTGCTCAGCAAGAATCAGAAATCACTCCTCCCTACTGCGGTCCTTGCGCGACTACCTGCGCTCCTTGACAACCTGAGCGGCCGCCACCTGACAGACCCTGACCTGCTCGAAGACGCACAAAGTCTCAAGGAACTTCTCGAGGAGTACACCAAGACAAAGACGACCTTTGACGAATACGTTGCTGAGGTCGAGTCTGGTCACCTCCGGTGGTCACCGCCTCACAGAAGCCAGGTCTTCTGGGCCGAGAATGCGCGCAAGATTTTGGAGCACGAGAACGGAGCCATTGCGCGCCAGCTCGCCGAGATTATGAAGAAGCCGTGGGAGAACGACAAGGCAGTCCTGGCTATTGCATGCAACGATGTTGGTGCCTTGGTTAAGGAGGTGCCTGAGATGAGATACAAGCTTGAGAAGCTTGGTCTCAAGACCAGAGTTATGGAGCTAATGGGAGAGTCGGACGAGAATGTCCGTTGGGAGAGTTTGAAGGCATTGGGTGGCTGGTTGAAGTACAGCTTTGACAACTAAATTTGTTTCCGGAGCAAGAACAAACAGTAGGACTATCAGTCCAGGCTCTGTGTATGTATAAACGGGGGACAGCATTACCCAGGCAGTTTAGAGTGGACCAGGAGTAGGTCGTTCCCGCATATTCCATTGTTTTTTCGTTGGTCAACGCTCTTGGCCCAAATCGTGATGTGTGCCTACGGATATCTCGAGTCTGTGGATGGAACACGCCATACGGTGATGATCAGTCGAGTAGGACACTGGCACTATGACGCGGAGCCAGGGCACAGCGCCATTGATGAGCATCGTGGGATGCTTCTTTTGGTCCCGAGGAGCGTGATGGAGGCGTACGATGTGCGGATACAGGTGACCGCAAATCCGCGGCGGCGGATAATCACCCGAGGCGGCGAGGCCCGCCGGCCATCTTGATATACGCAGTAAAGTACTTTACCTTAGTACCTTACTGGCAACGTCAGGGGTCAATTCGGCCCCCGTCTCTTGAATTTTCCAGCTAGCCAGCCCAATGGGAAGGGTGGAGCCATACTTAGGTAGGGAGGTACCTAAAATAAGGGGTGCGTTATGTACTCCGGAGCTTATCATACGGGCGGTACGTGCCCGGCGGGGTTGACGTTTGGCGTGGGGTGGCGCGACTGCGACCCCTCAGTTATTAGTGATTCTAGATCCCAGAATATCCCAGAATGTGGGAAGATCCCAACAGAAACTCCACCTGAAAGAGCTCTCGTGGTTCAGGGTCCATAGCTTACCACAGCTTCCGGTCGCATGTCCGATCGTGTACCCTCCAACCCTTTTCCAAACGCCGAAGAGCCGTTCAGTGCCCACGAACAAAACCAGACACACCCGCTCTCGCATCCATCCGCCGCCCACGCACACCTCTCTGTTTTTCTCCTTCTCAAAACACCACCAAAGAGACACACACAAAAACAAACGAAGCACAGCGTTCTCTCTCTCTGACTGCACTTGTTGCCTACCTACTTTCACAATGGCACCCAAGGCAATCATAGCCCCGTCGATTCTCGCGGCCGACTTTGGCCACTTTGGCCATGCGTGCTCCAAGACCATAGAGCAAGGCGCTGACTGGCTTCACGTCGACATTATGTACGGAGACCATACCCCGCCAGAAAAAAAAAATCAGCACACAAGCATCTTGCGACCGCTTTTTTGGAACACCGGTCGCAAAGGAGTTGTTCTCATGTCCGAGCCGAGCCGTGGCTAACTTACATGGTTTTCTAGGGACGGCCACTTTGTGCCCAACATTTCATGGGGACCCGGTGTTGTCGCCAAGATCAGAGGTCATGTTGAGAAGCCCATCGAGGCATGGGGAAAGGGCACATTTGACTGTCATATGATGGTTTCCGAGGTAATTGCTTTCCCTCTGCCCTGGGCTCAGGTTATTTGGGGTCGCCGAAAGTCCATTTGCGGTAACCCGGCATATTGCAACGCGCCTACTAACGCATCCGTCGATTTAGCCCAAGAAATGGGTCAAGGGCATGAAGGAGGCCGGCGCAGACCTGTACTGCTTCCATTACGAGGCCGCATTTTCCTCCGACTCCGACAACCCGGAGGTCCAATCCGACGAGAAGACGAATCCCCGCGCCCTGATCCGCTACATTCACGAGCAGGGCATATTAGCCGGTGTGGCTCTGAAGCCCGCAACCTCGGTCGACGTTGTGTGGGAGCTCCTCGAGAGTGAAGACCCACTCGAGAGACCAGACGTGAGTTATTGCCCTTTTTTTCTTCTTCTTACGAGCAGCTGTTACACACACCACAAGACGGGGTCTCCGCGAAGGTGCATTAGGCTGACAGGGGGTTCTCTCCACAACTGCAGATGGTCCTGATCATGACAGTCGAGCCCGGTTTCGGCGGACAGAAGTTCATGGCCTCTGAGCTGCCCAAGGTCCAGGCCCTCCGCGAGCGGTACCCGGAGCTCAACATCGAGGTCGACGGCGGCCTGACGGGGTCCACCGTCGGCCAGGCTGCCGATGCGGGCGCCAATGTCATCGTTGCTGGCAGCGCTGTCTTTGGTGCCCAGGACCCCGCAGAGGTCATCAAGATCCTCAGACAAGCCGTCGAGAAGAAGACCGGCAAGCTCTGAGAGAGATTGGAATCGAAGTCCCCACACCACCAAAACCCCGACTTTTTCTCTCACGGCCACGTTTTTACGACTTTTTCCTTTTTTTGTTGGTATTTCTGTCCTCTATAAAAAGCTATGGGAGCCATGATTTATGTTCAGCGTATATAGATATCAGACGGACAGCAACTTTCCGGTGGTATGCCGGAGTTACAGGTCTTTCTAATCCTAATTCTATCACATTATACACTATGCTTTGGTCTTTTGTTGCAGTACCTTATCCAAGGCCGCAATAAACCCCTTGATTTCATCAACTACGGCAAATTAGCATATGTCACAGGTCGGATAAGGTGCACACTTGACTCACGGCTGTTGTAATGCACCATGCTAACCCGAATAATGCCATCGGCAGGATCGAGTTGCAGAATCTCCTTGATCAGCCGGTACGAGTAGAAGTGACCCCATCGGAAGGCAAACTCGGACTCGTTCTCCACGGCATTGACGAGCTCCTTGGTGCCCCACCCCTGCACTCGGAAGCTGATTGTCGGAACACGGCGGTCGGTGCCGGCATCGGTCTCGCCGTAGATCGTCACGTCGCCCCGACCGTTGAGGTACTCGAGCAGAGTAGCCTGGAGCTGCCCCTCCTGCTCGACTTTCCCCTTCCAGCCTTGGGAGTCAGGCGTGCCTAGGTACTCCAGCACCCGCGGGACGGCCGAGACCAGCTCGTAGCTGCCGCCCGCGAGCCCGAGCTTCCCCTCGAGGGACTCGCTCGGGTTGAAGAAGTGGCCGAGGGAGCGCATGTGCGCGTCCTGCGCGGCGCGGCTGGCGTACAGCATGGCCGTGTGCGGACCGTAGACCTTGTACCACGAAAAGGCGTAAAAGTCGACGCCGAGGGCTTTGACGTCGATGGGCCGGTGCGGGGCATAGGCCACGCCGTCGACGCAGACGAGGCCTTTCGGGGTGGAGGCGTGGACGAGGGAGGCTACGGAGGCGACGTCGTGGATCGTGCCTAGGATGTTGCTCGCGTGCGTGAGGGTCACCAGGCGGGTCTTGTCCGAGAGTAGGGGCTTCAGGTTCTCTGCTGTTAGCTTTGGGTTTGTGGTGGAGGATGCGTCTGTGGGCTTCCACCACTTTAGCTCGAGCCCTTGGCGGGCGGCGAGGTCGACCCAGGAGGCGATGTTGGCTTCGTGGTCGACTGCTGATACGATGATTTCGTCGCCCTTGTCAAAGGTGAAGGTGTGGGATAGGTTGCGGAAGAGCTGGGTTGTCGAGGCGCCAAAGACTGCCCCCCCTTTATGTTAGTGTTTCTATCACGAGTGGTTGCTGAGCGGATTTCATTTACCGATCTCGTCAGAGGATGCGTTGATGTACTTTGCGCCGGCCTGGTAGCCTTCGCCGTAGGAGGCCGTCGCCTTCTGGCCGACTTTGTAAGAGGCGCCTAGCTGGACGTTGCTTTGTGTGAGATAGTCTCGGATGCTGGAATACTATGTGAGCGTGACTTTAGAACTAGAGTTTGAGAATTACAGGTGACATACGACTCAATGACTGTGCCCAGCGTCTGGCTTCCGCCTGCATTATCGAAGAAGACCTGGTCTTGGCCCAAGGCAGGGAACTTGCTTCTCACGGCAGCGATATCTATCTGGGACGCCATCTTGAATACTTTGTGTGGTATTGTTGAAGATGTGCAAGATAAATTCAAAATATATAAGAAATTATCACAAAGATACTAGAAAGTGAAAGGAAATGAAGCTATCGTGATGGGAACAAGTCCAAGTATTAAAGATGTGAGATTACGATAGCAGTTGCGGGGCAGGGCGTAATGGACGTAAAAGGACTGGGTTCAGATGATTAGGGAACTGCCCAATTGAGAAGTGAAGCGACCTTGGGAAGCCCGCAATTTACAGAAAGCCAATTGATCTAGTGTTTCCATGGATGCATGACGTTTTGCAGCGCGGGCGAAGGAACAACCTCAGTGCGGTGCTTGCTGGTGGGCGGGGGAGGAGAGGAGGATAGAGGGGCAGCGAGAGAAGAGGAAGTGTGGGGCGCGGGGTTTCGGCGGTTGGGCCCGGCTCGCCCGAAGCTCGCCCGCCCGCCGTGCCTTCTTCCCGTCCGGGTTTTTGGTGAGAGAGTTTCCGATGCCAAGCGCCGTTGCACACTTTCATCGCCAATCCTTGATTATGGTTTCCTTTGATCAGAGTAATAGTTTCTGGTCTGCCAATAGATTGAGAGGGAATCGGGAGAAGTTGAGTTGAGGTGTCTGCCGCTTATTCGACTCCCACCCACCCTTTTATGCATTGCCTCTGATACAAGACGCATCTCATGCAAATTCCAAGCGCCGGGAGCGAATCGTGCATGTGTGGTGTATCTAGACAACGGCATTGGCTATCTCCTCACCAGCCTGACGGTACTAAAGGGCTGCGCAGGAGAGAGAAGCAACCGGCGCTTGCACCGTCATGCGGACGAGTATTTGGACAATCCAATGTCTGGACAGAGAGTCAATCTTGTTGCCAGCTCTGATCACTGGCCACGCCGGCACTGTACGGCGGTGTACCCAGGAGCTCCCCCGACCGTTAAAGTGCCCCCGCCATCTGCTGAGCGAATGCTCATGGAGAGGCGCTTTTGCAAGCTTTGCAGGGGCCAACGGTGGGACGGCACTAAGCCCATGGGACGATTTGGCGCGAAAACAGCTGCTAGGAGAAAAACTTTATGTGGGACCTCAGCCCACGTTCGGTTCCGATCAGCGACAGACAGCCCAGCGCTGGGGTCGTCACAAAATATTGAAATTCTGGGAGGCCTGCCGACAACTTTTCTGCTTCTCTCAATTGTCTCCAAGAGCTTATCCCTACTTGTTCAATCGCCCAAAATGAAGCGCAAGGCCAGTTCACGAATTGACGATAAGAGAGCGTCCAAGAAGAAGACCAAGACGAGTTAGCCACCCCAACAACAACTTCAACTTTTTTTTCCTTGCCCCGATGTCGTCACTAACACCGAACTTTCTTTCGCTCCACGCACAGCTCTCTCGGCCGACGTCGCAAAGTCGAGATTCCGCAAGGGTCTCTTTGACAAGAAGGTCCACGACGCCTACACGAAGCAGTACGCTGAATCGAGCCCCTACAAGCACTCCGTCATCGACGGCCTCGTCGACGACGCCCTCCTGCGCTCCGTCCGCGACGAGATTCGCGAAAACGTCTCCTTCACCCCCAAGGAAACCGACATTTACAAGATCCACCAGTCGGGCGACCTCGCCAACCTCGACGGCCTCGACGATGACGCCCTCGCCAAGCTCCCGAGCCTGCTGTCGCTCCGCGACGCAATCTACTCCGAGACTTTCCGCGACTACGTCTCCCACATCACCGGCTGCGGACCCCTGAGCGGCCGCAAGACCGACATGGCCATCAACGTCTACACCCCCGGCTGTTACCTCTTATGCCACGACGACGTCATTGGCAGCCGCAAGGTCAGCTACATCCTCTACCTCACCGACCCGGACACGCCCTGGAAGCCCGAGTGGGGCGGAGCCCTGCGCCTGTTCCCCGTGCTCGAGCAGGAGGGCAAGGACGGCGAGATTGCAAAGACCCCAGCGCCGGACCACTCCAAGGTCATCCCGCCCGCGTGGAACCAGCTCTCCTTCTTCGCCGTGCAGCCCGGCGAGTCCTTCCACGACGTCGAGGAGGTCTACCACGCCGACACGAAGGCCCAGCTCGAGGCCGAGGGCGGCCGCGTCCGCATGGCCATCTCGGGCTGGTTCCACATCCCCCAGATCGGCGAGGACGGCTACGTCGAGGGCGCCGAGGAGAAGCAGGTCAAGAACTCGGGGCTCATGCAGCTCCAGGGCAACCCGGACCAGCACGACACACCGCAGGCGCGGCCCGTGAAGGTGGACAAGCCCAAGGCCAGCCTCGAAGGGTTCGACGAGGCCGGGCTCGAGTTCTTGCTAAAGTACATTGCGCCGACGTACCTCACCCCGGACACCCTGGAGCAGATCTCGGAGCACTTTGAGGAGAACTCGAGCATCACGCTACCCAACATCCTCTCGAAAAAGTTCTCCGCCAGGCTCAAGGAGTACATTGAATCCCAAGAGAGTTCCAAGCACAGCCTCCCAGAGAACGATAGCGACGCCATCGAGAAGAAGTCTGCGTGGCGCGTCGCCCGCCCCCCGCACAAGCACCGCTTCCTCTACCAGCAGCCCGCGGGCGCCGACGAGCTGCGCAGCGCGCAAGAAGAGAACCCGCTCACGGAGCTGCTCGACCACCTGCTGCCCTCGCGGCAGTTCCGCGAGTGGCTGCAGGTCGCCACGGGCACCGTCGTGGAGAGCCACGAGTTCCTCGCGCGTCGGTTCCGTCGCGGGCAGGATTATACCCTGGCCACGGGCCACGACGGGAAGCCCCGTCTCGAGTTCAACCTCGGAATTACCCCGACCAAGGGCTGGGGTGACGAGGAAGAGGAAGAGGAGGAGAAGCCTGAGGAGGAAGAAGAAGAGGTAAACTCAAACGGCAAATCATCAAAGAAGCGCAACAAGGGCAAAGGTAAAGCCAAAACCGAGCCCGAACCCGCACCAGAAGAAAAACAAGACGAAGAAGAGACGGAGGTCGGCGGCCACGAGGTCTACATGGCGGGCGACGACGGCGAAGACGACGAGGACGCGGCGATCTACAAGTCGTCGGGCGATGACGACAACATCCTCTTCTTCCAGGCCGCCGCGTGGAACAAGCTCACGCTCGTGCTCCGCGACAGCGGCACGCTGCGGTTCGTAAAGTACGTCGGGCGCGCTGCCAAGGGGGACCGGTGGGACGTCTCGGGCGCGCTCGATATCGAGGATGAGGACGAGGAGGGTGCGAAGAACGGCGACGGTGGAGATGATGACGGGGAGGAATCTGAGGAGGAGTGGAATGGGTTCTCCGATTCACCTGCTGCACAGACGAGCGATAGCGACTGAAGAGTTTGGTCTTGCTACTTTGTGTGCGTGGGTGCACGTAATGTACATCTCGCCTGATGTTTTGGTTTTAGGGATTTACACGGCTAGACACAAAAAGTTATGAGTTACAATACATGTTTGTCCCAAGTTCAAACTTCATCCAAAGTGTTTGACTTGACGACATGAACTAGATAGAGAGCAGACATAAGGCCGGGATGATGTGTATGACAAAAAACGTTCAGAAAACTTTTCACTAGGCGAAACTGACATGATTCGATTCGCAAAGATGCTACAGGAGAATCACGAAAAGGCGAATCTACTAGCAACTCGAATTTCCTACAGCTGAATAAAATAGAAATAAAAACTCATAAGATTTCGCCACCCTTTGCCCATGCTCCCACAACGCCTCTGTTTCTTTCAAATACAAAGTGCTAGCCCATATGACAAGTTCCAACAAAGTCTAGCAAATGCTTATAATGCAAGCTTGCGACGACAAGAACCAATGACCAGTGCATCTCGCGCGCTTTCTAGCTCTCATGCTCTGTCTCTCGATCGTCCTCTAAAACTTCTTCAATTTCTTCTGGGGCACCGTCTTGATGAACGCATGCTTTAAGAAATGCAGCCACACCTTGTTGTGCTTCTTCTTCTTCTTCTTTCCGCCCTTCTTACCCTTCTTGCCTTTCTTACCCTTCTTCTTCTCTGTTTCTACATCTTCATCTTCGTCGTCTTCATCGTCGTCGTCTGCGTCGTCATCATCGTGCTCTTCGTCTTCGACCACTTCCTTCTTCTCGTCTAATGACTCCTCTTCTCCTTCTTCTACGTCTTCGTCATCGTCTTCTTCATAATCCTCAGCAAGAGCTTTCCCTTTGCCCTTCTTAGCATTCTCCTTGGCAATGCGGTTCGCCAGCTTGACGTAACTGCGAACGGTCAAGTCCGATAGCTTGTAAATCTTGTCGGTAAAGGTACTATATTCAACCTCGAACGCAAAGGGGCGTGGCTTGGGCTTCTTGGACTTGGGATCCTTGTCCTTGTGGATGCCGTCACGCCACTTGCTTCCAGATGCGTCCTTGCTTTCGTGCGTCATGTCGTTGTTGAGGTAGGTCAGGTTTGCAAAATACTGGGTGTATCCAAGGAAGGTCAGAGGCTGAGGTGCGTATGCCGGGCCAGGGCCGGTGCCTGCAGGCGGCGGCTGAGGGATGACCAAATTGGGATCCTTGGGTTTTGTCGGCTTCTTTCCCTTTTTGCCCTTCTTCTTCTTCTTCTTGGCGGCGTCAATTTCGCGCTTCAATTCTTCGTGGACGGGATCGTCATCTGACGGGAGTGCTAGAGCGGGTACAGAGTTGGTGAACGAGTCGGTCCAAACCGCAGCGTCCTCGAGGCCGGAAATGTTGTATTCCACGACACGGAGCGTGGGGAAGTAGTTGGGGACGATACTGGGGCCGACGAGAGAGAGGTGGTATCGCTCTGCGTACTTGCCGCCCAACTCCTTTCCTGGCTTCTTCTTTTTCTTCTTCTTGTCCTTCTTGCCCTTTGCATCCGACTCCACAGTATCTTCCTCCTCGAGAACCTTCACGTTGACGGCTGGCAACTTTGCCCAGCCTTCCCGCAATTCTGTGAGATAGTCCTGTGCCGATTGGATTTCGAGTTCATCCTCAAAAGCTTCGCGCCCGACGTCGTCGTCTACCGCGAAACCACCCAAGATGTTGATGTCGATCTCCTTGGTATCGTGTACAATGAAATGATCAATGTTCATGTGACCATAAAGCGAACCAACAACAACATCCCGATACTGCTGCATCCAAAGGTTGTACTTTTGCCAGCAGGTTTCATCCCAATTCTTCTTGCTGTCGGTCCGGGCCGGGGGCACGTGGCCCATGAGGATGGCCTTCATGCCGCGTTCGCGGAGGAACTCCAGCTGCACGCGAAGCCACTCCATTTGCTTAAAACCTGGCTCGGACGGCTGTTGGCAATCGTCGACACCGGCGTTTCGGTCGAAAAAGTACAATGTGTTGAGACTGAATACGGCGAGCTTTTTGGGAATGACTTCGGTGTAGAACCAGCCTCCAAACTCGAAAGAGTGGCGTTGCTCCTCGGGGATGAAGCGCTTCCAGATCTCGGCATAGTATCCTAACCACTTATTGGGCCCTGGCAGGAGGATATTGTGCGGTAGAATATCATTGTTCCCAAACGTCGGAATGACAGGTACAGCCATTTTCGAGGAGTCTTTCGGGTCACCAAAGGTTTCCGCAAACTTGTCGGCGATCCATCGATTTGTGCCGAGCACCTGGCCCGGGCTACGAGGAATGCTCTCATCACTGTCGTGGCGCGCAGAGTCGCCAGTCCAGATGACGAAATCGATGTCGTCTACAATATTCGCGGCGATCCAGTCAAAGGTCGCGTTTACGAGGGAAGATGGCGTATCACAGTCGGAGGTTTCTGCGCCATAGTAGCCGGCGGGTCCATCGCCTGAATGGCATGCGACGCCTTCTTCGGTAGAGGAGTGGGTTTTGTAGAATTGATCGGGATGAAAGTCTACGAATGCACAGCAGTTATTAGCATTTGGTGTCGTCCCACGTCAAGCACCAAGCAGAGAGCGGTTCGCCTCATGTGCCTTGCCTGAGCGTCGCGACTGCATTTCTGCGATGCTGATCGCGACGCCCGTGGGTGTCGTCAGGTAGCATCCAAACGTACCAGTAATGTGTAGAAACTTTCCACTTAGACGTCGAGATCCTTCTTGTGCGACTGTTTCTGCGACCTCTGAACCAATGACGATTTGTTGCTGCCCGCTGGCGACAGGTGTTGCAATGACGCCATGCAGGAACAACTGCTGGAGCAGGGCGAGCTGCAGAGGCAGGGCGGCGCCCACTATTGCGGGTAAAGACCGCATTGCTGGGGAGGAGCTGAAAAGGCGCGCGGTACCTGGTTCGATGTTTCTATGGTTCTGACGCACGCAGGCACGGCAGCCGAATGAAAAGCCGATGATGTTGTTTGAAAAGGAGAAGAGACCGTCGCAACGGGGGGGTCCGGAGAGACTGAAAGTGGGAGTAAGAAAGAAGACGGGGGCCAATTCAAGGTTATTAAGTCATGATTTTCCCTTGGCCGAGCTTTGGCTGTCCCCGTAGAAAAATAAATGGAAGCGCGAGCGACGTCTGTCTGGATCAATGGACAGGGTCTGTCTGACTTGGTTTGCTTGGCTTGGCTGTGGCCGTGACCTGGACTTTTTTCCAGGGCTCCAGGGCTGGGGCGAGGCGGTAAGCAGGGGACTGGGCAGCTGGAGTGTTGCTGGAACACCACCTTTGGGAATGCTGTCAGACGTGAGCGGTAAGGTACAAATATGTGTGAGCGTGAGCGTGAAAACGAGAGCATTCGTACCCAAGGTATAATACACAACGACACCTTCGGAGACTGAGAGAAGAGAGGGAGGGCGCAAGGGTCCACGTCACAGTTACAGCTCTTGGGAACAACCCAGCTGGTCAACCTTGCTTCGTAGGCGAGTAGGCACCCGACTGGACGTAGGGAATCGCGGCTGGTAGGTGACCCTACATAAATAACACCGGTTGAACTTGAGGGGTGATCCTCCCGCACGCCAACCGCCTGGCTTGCCGTGCTTGCGTTAGAGTTGATGGTCGGTTTTTGCAAGTGGGAAAGTGATGATGTCCGGTGGCGTCCAATGGTTGCATGTCCCTGCTGACTGACGGCTGGGCAGGGGAAAAGGAAAGTCGGTGATGGTGGCACTGGTGAGAAGGAGGCAGCATCAACCATCGACAGGTGCTCCTTTTTTGTCTGAACCCGGGAGGAGCATGACTTTTAATGTACTTGTCCGCTCCTTCCGACGACCACAACGTGTCCTGGTGTTGGCATCTCATGCCTTTCACTGCCACGACTGCCTCACACGACGATGCAGCAAGGAACATGATTCCCCGCCTTCCCTTTCGTGTGCGTTACAACTTACCTTACATGCACGCAAGTCGCTGGAAACACCGCAAACAAGACCATCAAGGTCCATGGCCGACCAGAGGTGAAACTCTCACTGGATGATTATCATCCCGAGCCCACCCTCCATCTCCATTCTCCATCCAGATCTCCAGCACTAATCCACGGAGCACGATGGCCAGTCCACAAGGCTGAAAGCTTCAACCTCCAATCCGCAGCCAATCGAGCTGCAGCACTCACACACGTGTGTTTTTTTTTTTTTTCATGACACCCACTGCCCATCGAAACATCCATGGGCTGAGACAACCACCCCATCCCGCGATATTCCATCACTGCATCAGCGAGGTTGCCGCCTTGTAGCGCCGCACACGAGCCAGTGCCGAATGCTGAGGCGTCTTAGGGCCTCTGACCGTCCCCCGTGGACCACCTGCTACCTATTCCATCCTCGGATCCTCCCCCTTGGAGCGTGGGAGAGGTCGTCAGACTGAGAGTGTGACCGTCGATATGCACAAAAGTCCACAATGCCTCATCCTGGGGTAGGCTGGTTGGCGCGAGTCAATCCGGCACTTACTCCAACCCGTCGCTTGATCTGCCCGCTCCCCATCGTGGGGCCGCGTGATACCCCGATATACCACATACCCATGGTTTCTCAAAGTGTTCTACATCTCGTCCGCCGGGAAGTGCCAAGGCAATCCTTTATGCTGCATCTCCAGGCAGGTCGTTGCGACCTTCAGTCAGATATCATTGTAGATTCAGGCCGTGTCTGGTCCCCTGCTGACACCTTTGCGCTGACGTCATATCTAAGAGAGCCGTCAAACTCTCGCTCCCATATTTGCTGGTTGATCCCTTGCGCTCAGTCTAACATAGAGAGATGCTGGGGAACAGAATGTTTGAAATGCAAATGAAGGCTCACCGCATCTCATCACATGCACTCGTGTTGTAGGGAGTTTGCATAGTCACTCTCATGCGGTGTGTTCCCCTCAGATGGTCAGTTGACTGATTGTCGAATTCGATCCTTTTTTAGGGGTCCTGTCAACCTACCTAGCGGCAAGACGAATTTGAGGTCGGGCGTGATTGGCTTGTACTCCTGTAGACCAATTCCGTGAGTACGTACTGTCGCGCCATACCCACGTGACCTCAGAAAATCTGGACAGCTGTCGCCGCCTGGCTGCTGAGTATTGGGAATGCGCAGATAACGTGACCAGCAGCCCTGCATGGTAGACAGTGAATGAAGCAGTGCGCAAGGCTGATGCACGGTGTTTCCAGACTTGCAGATGCCAGACGCAGGTAGAAATCAGGATAGACATGGTGATCGCAAGCCTCGATAAAGCGCCGTAAACCGCGAAATTTGACAGAGCACTTGCTCGGGGAGAAAAGTCGTAAAAATTCTTCGACGAGTCGGTCTCCTATCGTTAGTGATTGTCGCCATGGCAAGAAAATACCACGATAGCATCATCTAGCGATGTCCTCCTGACCAACCACGAATAGTGTAATAACGGCTGATTACACGGGATGGCCGAGGCAAAGCCGTAAAGGGTAGCAAAGCGCCGCTGCGCCGGTCCTTGCGGAAGATGACCGTAGCCTCTCAGGGAACCTCAGGAAGCCGCGATTGATGGAAAGGGCGGGGGGCCGCTTTTTGTAGTATCGCAGAGCAATCAGCATCGTGAGGATGTTAAGCGACAAGCTCGGGCGTGTACTCGGGTGTTGGGGGGTATCGCCTATCATATCTCCTGCGACGACCGAGGGCGAATCCGGAACTGCGAGCTGGTCAGCTTGCGACCGAAGGCTTTCCGAGGCAGTTTGAGCTCCACTACGGCGGACGGAAGCACCAGAATGAACAGGGGGCTTGAATCCATATCCACAGAAGGGGAAAGCAATGGAGGCTCGTCCCACGGTCCCACGGTCCCAGCCTCCCAGATTCTCCACCGGGAGAAGGGCCCCCCACCAAAGGAGGAGACACCCCCGGCCGCCGGCCCCCAGTTTTGCAGGCTTGAGTGAAATAAAAATTGCGCCAAAACAATGTCTCCAGACCAGAAAATTTTGGTGATATTGTAATTGCCCCTGATGATTGGATGCCGCAATCAGCGCAGACCCCAAGCACCCGAGGTACCAGTCGTTAGTGCGAGGGAGACAGGTACATGATAATCGCGACATGAGGACACCTGAACAGGAGTTACCGCAAGCCACAGGCTACAGCTGCCCCGAGGAGTCTGGACTCGTGATGCCCGGGTTGGAATCGCAATGAACCGTTTTCCTCTCCCGTGCGGTACTTTCCTTCTCCTATGCCGGTAGCATAATTCTTTTGGATCGAACTCGTGTCGCGGGGTCGGTGAAACAGTCTCGAAGATGCGAGGCTGAACCTGATGTTGTCGTGTTTAGCTGGACAGCCACAAGTACCTGGGCCTTAGTAAGGAAGTACCTTCAATCTGTAGCCGTCCTGTGCGCTGCTGCCCGCCGCTGAACTGACAGGAACCTAGCCGGCTGGACGGGACCTCCAGATCAACAGTGAGGTAGCAATGCCCAATCACCCAAAGACAGCCGTGTACAACAGTATCAGGTATTTTCCGGCGGCCAGAGTTTTTGGGACATGACTCTGGCTTCTGCAGCCCTGGACGAAATGCAGACTGCATTGCAAAAGTCTGAGACGAGGCCCTTGCGACAGAAAAACACAGTACTCCGTACGCCCTCAAGATCTCTGATTTCTCCGCATGGAGCTGTCCTGGCTTCTCTGGGCTTGTCCTGGTCGTGTGCGATGGACGTCGTCCAGCCGCGTGGGGAAGAAATGGAGAGCCTTGTCGTGGTCGCTCAAAGTCCGGATATCCATACCGTGACATAGGAAGAAGAAAAGGCCGGACAGGCGGGTGGTGGCCGGCGTTGTCGGGTAAGGCAGCAAGTATCGAGTATCCGTCGGTACCTCAAGTATGCGTGGTAGGGAGCCTGACTCCAGGTACAAATCTTCACATGTGGAGGCAACGTGAGTGTCGCAGACTCGCAGCCAGTGACCGTGTGGCTCAGTGCTGCAGCAGCGGTAGCCCCGGGGTCTGGAGGGAGCACACCCGTCTTTATGGGGATTAGCCTCGTCTCCGGGCGGAACCTGACATGAGACGGACAAAGTCCAGTCTGTTCTCTCCTGCTTCTTGATCGGCCGTCTTCGTGTGTATGATGGATGAGCGGACGGGCGGGCGGTCGGACCAAGGCAGAGGTGGACACATGCTGTCAATTGAATTGTGCATGATGCTCCCGTTCTCATAGCAATAGACCAAAGTCGAGACGGATGAACGGGACTGTGACCACATTCCAAAGGCCAAGAATTGGGGTAACGAGTTGTACCAACGAGCTCTGGGTGACGGCATACAGTGCAAACAGATGTCGTAGGAATGTTTATCAGTGACGTTTTTGCACCTCGACTCCTTGCGCTGGGCGACTTGCTATTCGCCATTCGCGCTTGCCGGACGCCGTATCCGACCGCGGTACTTGGTATTGTTCTTGTCATGTCTCGCGTCATTGGTCTCTTTGCAGATGACTGTATTCGGCCTCTGCCTTCGTCTCGATCATGTTCGCCAGAACCAAGATCAGTTACCTGTAGAGGCAGATCAGTCAGCGGATGAACATTGTTCAAGTACCTAGCAGTATCGTGATGCGATGGAGATTCATATGAAATTTGTGCGCGATAGAGAGGGGCCGGCCGAAACAGCGATACAAATGCAAAGGTCGTGAGCGAGGGGGGGATTGCAGAGGGAAAAAAGGACTCGAGAAAAGGTACATGTGGCTTTGGACAGGGGTGGTTACCTTTGAGCAAAGAGCAGTTGCGGTGCAGGGTCTCCGCAAAGCAGCAGGGAACACCGCGATACGGAGCAGGGGGAATGGGACAGAATGGGGGGTACTTTCGGAAGGTACTTTCCTGAGGTTGTCGTTGTTCCCGTGAAAGTGAAGAAAAGTAGCCCCACTCCAGTCCATTGCTGCTCTTTGCTGCTGAGTGAAAAATAATCCAATCTCGCTGATTCGTCCGTTGGCCCGTCGTCGCCTTCGTCATAGCCGAGGAGACCCACCTTGGCCGACCCTGTTCCTCAGTACCTTCTCCACAGTCCACACAGCAGCGCGGCAACCAGACGGCCTGCGCCCAATTTGAGCCGAGCACGCACCGTGGCCACCCCCCAAAAGCTGCCGCGGAAAGAGCCCAGAGCGAGGTGAAAGAGGGCAAAAGTGAGTGTGATCCGGAAAGAAGGTGCGAGGATTTTTTACTGCCACCCCCATCCGGAAAGACCTAGGCCTGGCTTGCTTTGCCGCCTTTCTTCTACTACTTGACCTCCTCGTCGGAAATTCTCTCCACCTTCTTGTTTTCTTCCTCTTAATATTCTTTTCCTTTCCTCCATCCTCACAAAACAAAGTCCCTTGAACAGGCAAGGGCACTTGAGATATCTGTTGCGAGCTTCATCACAGCTCCGACAACTCTCCACACAAGCTCAATTGACCAGTTTCATTGCTGCTCTCAGTGTCAACACCAACCATGTTGGCTTCACGACAGCTCCTGGGCTCCGTTGCCCGGAGCCGTACTGCTGCCAGTGCCCGTCTGGGACTGCGTGGCATGGCTACCGTTTCTGACTCTCCCCTTGACCGCAAGGTACGATATTTCCCCCTCTAACGCTAGAAAACCGTTGTCTACGGTATCTTCTGTCTAGACAGCATGGCCGGGTGCTTCTTTGGCATCGCGTACGTGTTTGCTCGACTTGACAAGGGTGCTGACTCGTCGAAAACAGGTCAAGCAGAATATCCACGAGGAGGGCAACTTCATCAACTACAAGAAGATGTCCGAGAACCTGTCCATCGTTCGCCAGCGTCTCAACCGCCCCCTGGCCTACGCTGAGAAGATTCTCTACTCCCACTTGGACGACCCTCACGGACAAGAGATCGAGCGTGGTGTCTCATACCTGAAGCTCCGCCCCGATCGCGTTGCTTGCCAGGATGCCACTGCTCAGATGGCTATTCTGCAGTTCATGTCTGCTGGCATGCCCTCCGTCGCCAACCCCACCACTGTCCACTGCGATCACTTGATCGAGGCTCAGATTGGTGGCTCTAAGGATCTTGCCCGTGCCGTCGGCATCAACAAGGAGGTCTATGACTTCCTTGCCTCTGCTTGCGCCAAGTACAACATCGGTTTCTGGAAGCCCGGTTCTGGTATCATCCACCAGATTGTCCTCGAGAACTACGCTTTCCCCGGTGGTCTTCTTATCGGAACTGACTCTCACACTCCCAACGCTGGTGGTCTCGGTATGTGCGCTATCGGTGTCGGTGGTGCTGACGCCGTCGATGTCATGGCCAACCTTCCCTGGGAGCTGAAGGCCCCCAAGGTTATCGGTGTCAAGCTCACTGGTGCCCTGAACCCCTGGGTCACTCCCAAGGATATCATTCTCAAGGTTGCCGGTATCTTGACCGTCAAGGGTGGTACTGGTGCCATTGTTGAGTACCACGGCCCTGGTGTCGACACCCTCTCTGCCACTGGTATGGGAACTATCTGCAACATGGGTGCCGAGATCGGTGCCACCACCTCCCTCTTCCCCTTCAACGAGTCCATGCACAAGTACCTCACCGCCACCAAGCGTAAGGACATTGGTGACTTCGCGAAGACCTACGCCAAGGAGCTTCGCGAGGATGAGGGTGCCGAGTACGACCAGCTCATCGAGATCAACCTGTCCGAGCTCGAGCCCCACATCAACGGTCCCTTCACCCCCGATCTGGCCACCCCCATCTCCAAGTTCAGCGAGGCTGTCAAGGCCAACAACTGGCCCGAGGAGCTCAAGGTCGGTCTGATCGGTTCTTGCACCAACTCCTCCTACGAGGACATGACCCGCGGTGCTGCCATCGCTCGCGACGCTCTCGACCACGGTATTAAGTCCAAGGCCATCTTCACCATCACCCCCGGTTCCGAGCAGATTCGCGCCACCATCGAGCGCGATGGTCAGCTTCAGACCTTCGAGGAGTACGGCGGTATTGTCCTTGCCAACGCCTGCGGTCCCTGCATTGGTCAGTGGGATCGTCAGGATGTCAAGAAGGGCACCCCCAACTCCATCATCTCTTCCTACAACCGTAACTTCACCGGACGTAACGACGGTAACCCCGCCACCCACTCCTTCGTCGCCTCTCCCGACATGGTCGTTGCCATGACCGTCGCCGGCAGCCTCCACTTCAACCCCCTTACCGACAAGCTCAAGGACAAGGACGGCAACGAGTTCATGCTCAAGCCTCCTTCCGGAGACTCTCTCCCCAGCCGCGGATACGACCCCGGCCAGAACACCTACCAGGCCCCTCCCGCCGACCGCAGCACCGTCAACGTCCAGGTCTCTCCCTCCTCCGACCGTCTTCAGATCCTGTCCTCCTTCCAGCCTTGGGATGGCAAGGACGTCAACGATATCCCCATCCTGATCAAGTGCAAGGGCAAGACCACCACTGACCACATCTCCATGGCGGGTCCCTGGTTGAAGTACCGTGGCCACTTGGACAACATCTCCAACAACATGTTGATTGGTGCCATCAACGAGGCCAACGGCGAGGCCAACAAGATCCAGAACTTTACCACCGGCGAGTGGGACGCCGTCCCCGCCGTTGCCCGTGACTACAAGGCGAAGGGTATTAAGTGGGTTGTCATTGGTGACTGGAACTACGGCGAGGGTTCTTCCCGTGAGCACGCCGCTCTTGAGCCCCGTCACCTTGGTGGTCTTGCCATCATCACCCGCTCCTTCGCCCGTATCCACGAGACCAACCTGAAGAAGCAGGGTATGCTTCCTCTTACCTTCTCCGACCCCGCCGACTACGACAAGATCAGACCCGAGGACAAGGTCGACATCCTCGCCACCGAGCTCGAGGTCGGCAAGCCTCTGACCATGGTTGTCCACCCCAAGGATGGCAAGGCCTTCGAGGTCAAGCTCTCCCACACCTTCAACGCCCCCCAGATTGAGTGGTTCAAGAACGGTTCCGCTCTTAACACCATGGCCAAGTCCGCTGGCAAGTCATAAACGGACAATGTTACGTTAGCGATACGGGTCAGGGCGATATGTGGTTAGGCGGTGTAGGCGTACCTCTGTTTATTTAGCATGTTCTGGGGTGTCGGTCGGTATAACTAAAGTGTATGGCCGCGTTACGCCCTTTGTTTTGGTCGGGCAAATACCTCTGGGACTATTGTTTTTTCTATGTCATGTAGGCCATGATTTCCTAGTATGTACAAATTTGAAACGTTCAAACAAAATATCGACGCAATGTCACAAGGCGAAAGCGGATACAAAGGTGTTCAAGCTTCGTGAATTTGCATGTGATCTTCTCATACTTCACCGATGACCTATATTCAAAGCACTTCAGAAACCCAGGACGAGTTACATAACTCACTGTGACGCTGTTGCAGGCACGTGATGATAAGAGGTGGATGTGTCGTACAACAGGGGTCTTATCTAACATTTTTGGGATCGTCCGAAGAGGTCCGAGTGGACCGGGAGCATGCGACAGGTTGTCTACAATTTCCCAACTGCCGCAAAACATACAATCTTCGTTGTGCCAACTCCAGCCAATTCTCATGCCTTGTGCTGTCGACTGTACCAATCGCTAGAACGACTTTCGACTTTGAACGCGGCGATTGGTGCTTGCTCGACCGCTAATTCTTTCCACCCGACCCACGACCCTCGACCCCTCTGGATCCCGTGAATCCCGGAGGCGGCGGGCGCGATGGCTTCCAACATAACATCCTTCAGCACCCTTCGGGCTCGCTCTTACGTATTCCGTTTACCGCTCTTTACGCGCATCGTTCTCCTGGTCATTATCGCAGCATGGTTCGCAGGCCTTCAACATTCGTGGGATGTCAGGCATTGGGGCGCCCTGATTCCTGACCAGCTGTCCTTTACCTCTTGTAAGCTTCCTTTGCCTGCCAGGCTGCTCTCCACAGGCGCGCTTTATACTGACTGTATTTTGGCGGCAGCATACCGAATGAATACGTTCCCCTTCGTTCATGTCAATCTCATTCATACGGTCATGAATCTGGCGGCTCTCGCGCCGTTGATGGAGCGGTTCGAGGCGGAATTCGGCACCTTGACCTCGATTGCCCTCTTCATCGGCCGTAAGATATATCCTGGTCTTCTCTACAAGGTGTGGGCGACTAATTTTCTGCAGCTCTGAGCACGATCCCGGCTATTCTCTACACCTTGATCGAACGGTTCCTCTTCAAGGGCAACACCGAAGTTATGGGAGCTAGGTAAGAAACTATACAAGTGAGGCCCGCGAGCGGAAGAGGGATGAAATCTAACGAGAATAACCACAATGCAGCGTCTGGGTCTTTTTGCTCCTGGGCATCGAGGCGATCCGAACCTACAAGACGAACCCTCACCTGACTATTGCGACGTACTCGATTCCGACGTGGACAACCCCCCTGATCCTCATCCTGGTGGTTACGGCGCTCGTTCCTGGTACCAGCTTGCTCGGTCACCTCTGCGGCGTCTTGGTTGGATATCTCTGTAAGAGACCTGTCCCTTCCTTCCCATGTCCTGCTAGGAGGATATATGACTAACTCAGGGTTACTATTTCAGTCGGCCTCGGCTATCTTAAGTTCCTCAGCCCGCCCGAAAAGGCCCTGCGATGGATCGAGTCGAAGCTGAACCTCCTCGGGCGGCTGCCGCACTACGTGAGCGTCGACCAGAAGACGTACGGGCGATTTGGCGTTCTGCCCACCAACACCCATGCTGGTGGCGGCAGCGCACCGATTGCGCTTGTTGGCACGACTCAGCGACTTGGGCCATGAAAGCATTACGGGCGTGTTATTGAAAGCTTGTAATACCACATGGCAGACTTTGTCCCGGTTAGGCTGCATTTTGCACCTTGGTCGGAGTTTGGGAGTTCATAATGCAGGCAAAAAAAAGTGGCATGTGTACAAGGCGGGGCAGATTTTGTTTTGTATCGCCAGTTCTCTCTATGAGTGTTTACTTATGGTTGTAAACTATATAATATGAAGGTTCTCGTATGTCTTATCATCATTGGCTTTTGCCGGAGCATTTGCGTGTAGGCACACCCTATGGTTCAAATACTCTTGGTCTCTAGATGACCGGTTTCTCCGGCAATGTTATGTAAAGCGAGAAGGACAGTACACCTCCCCAGGGATCCCATATATTAGCGCGGTGAATTAACAGGGGGTTTACTAAGTAAGTATAAATTCTAGTAAATCCTATAACTAATTTAAAAATAGTACTTTTAAACTTAATACTAAAGTTTCTATCTATTTTTATTATTTTTTAACTTATTATTTTATCTAGCACGATAGCTTTAAAGAGGTAATTAGGAATATTCTTATAAAAGAATATAATAAGTAAATATTCATATAGAAGCAAGAATATATGAATATAGGGGTAATAAGCGTATATAAAAGAGGTTTAGGTAGTAAAGAGAGTAATATAGTTAAATTACTATATAAGAAGTTACTTGCTTAACGAAAGGTCTAAGTAGGTAAAAAGACGCCTATATATAGGCATAAAAACCTCCTACTAGAATATTCTACTGCTTATTAATTATAATATAATTAATAAGTATATACGTAAGTGTATACGTAATCGTAGTACGTAATACTACTTCGAGTGAATTCCAGCGTATTCCAATACCTTCCAGCATATTCCATAGCTTATATAAGCAATATTGATTACGTAAGCAATATATATATTAATCTATAATAAATATAGATTAATATAATATATTATATGCTTACGTAATATAAAGAATAAAGCAAATAATAAAGGAAATACATTTACCTTTTTAACATTTTATAATTAATTTTAACTTTAACTACGTATATATATATATTATTATTTATAAAATATTTTAAATATTAAGAAATTCTTATTCTTTATTTTTTATATATTTTATATATAAATATAAGTAATATAATTGTATAGGGCTGCTATTAGTTTTAGTAAAGTCTGTTGGAAAGTACTGCGCTAACGTATGGGATCCCTGGGTAGGTGTAGTCAAATGTTATGACAGTTTGAAAGAAGTTTATCTGATCTTTCAAGTTGGATTCGGCCAATGTGAAAGCATGTACGTACCGTACTGCTCTGTGACATTGGATGCTCGTCGCCCCTGTTGGCCGGGGCTTATAGAAACCAACAAGACGAGTGAGCACGATCACATGTGTCTAGCTAACTTGGCAATCTCATCTAATGTGAACATTGGATCCTTCCCTCGCCTCGAAGACTACCATGGAGGTTCGATTTGCAACAGTCGGGGCAGATGTAGCCATAAAGAAAAACGTCGTTGAAGCACAGCTTGGCTCGAATGCCTTCATCCCACTCTCTTCCCACGAAAAAAGGGCCCCACTTCGTCCCTGCTATCCGGGGCTAATCCGCATACGCTCTAGCCCCACACGCCAAAACGCTAATAAGATTTTCTGCGCTCGTTCAATCTTTGCCTTCCTCTTTTTCTCTTCACATTCAAACGTAACACGATCCTGTCAACATAAGCTGCTTGTCAACCTCTTCCATATTTGCCGCATTTCAGGATCATAGTTTCTAGAGTATTCAGCCGCTCGTTTGAGGGTCGTCATCGCTTTGCGCTTCCGTGATGGCTTCCCATGAAGAAGTGGCTACATGCTTTCCAACCAAAACATTGAAAACTTGCCGTTGCTCTGATCTTGCCATGCCTTTAAGCAAGAAGAATCACCGATCAGGTAGATGAAAGCCAGGTTGAACGCTAAAAAGTGCTGGATATCTTTTTTCAAAAACTTCTATCGATACATCCCACCCTACGCAGGCGCGGGAGTCGGTCCCTTGAAGTATTTGCTTGGAACCAACGGCATCTTGGACACCACGGCTCCCCTCTTCTTGCCTCTCACCACAACGTCCAGCTCGGTGCCGGACTTGTGCAGACCCTCCTTGACGTATCCCATGGCAATGTTCTTGCCCAACGTCGGGCTGGGCGAGCCGCTGGTGATGACACCGACCTTCTCCCCGTCCTTTGTAAAGATCTCGGCGCCCTCGCGGGCCGGCGCGCCCGAGATCACAAAGCCCACGCGGCGCCTCTCGATGCCCGCGCCGCCCTTGCTCTTGGGCACGAGCTGCTTGTTAATCACCTCGGCGCCGTGGAAGCCGCCCTTTGTGCGGCGCTCCTTGGGGATGATCCACGACAGGCTGCCTTCGACGGGGGTCGTCGTGTCGTCAATGTCGTGGCCGTACAGGCACATGCCGGCCTCGAGGCGCAGGCTGTCGCGCGGGCCGAGACCCGCGAGCTGCAGCCTCTCCGGGCCGGCGACCTTCAAAAGCGTCTCGGCGATGGGGCCGGCCTCGCCGTTGGTGGACTTGAAGGAGATTTCGAAGCCGTCCTCGCCCGTGTAGCCTCCGCGGCTGATCATGGCCTTTTCGGGCGTCGACTGCCACTGGCCCTGGCCGTCCTGGTACCGGAGGCGGGCGAAGCCCGTGTTGCCAAAGTAGAGGGTGCTCAGGTCCAGGCCGTCGGCCGGGTCGAGGACCTCCTGGAGGATCTCGGCGCTCTGGGGGCCCTGGAGGGCGACGAGGCCGTAGCCCTCGAGGACCTCCCACCAGAAGTCGGTGCCCTCGGGGTTCTGGAGCGCCGCGGTGTGCTCGGTGAGGTAGGCGAAGATCTTTTCGCGGGTGCCGGCGTTGGAGACGACGGCGTACTCGTGCTCGCCGAGGCGGGTGATCATTGTGTCGTCGACGATGCCGCCCGTGCCCGGGTGGAGGAAGGTGCTGAGCTTGCTCGTGTTGAGCTCCATGTCGGCGACGCTGGAGGGGGTGACGGTCTCGAGGAAGGCGGCGGCCTTGGGGCCGGTGAAGCGGTGCTGGACCATGTGGGAGACGTCAAAGAGGGAGGCGTGGGTGCGGGTGAAGTGGTGGGACTCGGCGAGGGACTGGCCGGCGTACTGGACGGGCATGTGGTGGCCGCCGAAGATGACCATTTTGCCGCCGTGGGCGACGTGGAAGTCGTAGAGGGGGGTCTTGTCCTGCTTGGAGAAGGCGGCGAGCTTCTCTTTCCAGTTGGCGCGGGACGCCGAGCTGTAGAAGCGGCGGGGGTTGTTGTGTAGTTGTGATGCTCCCGCCGTTCTCGGGGCCGGGGCCGTGGAGCTCAGTCCGGCGACGGATGCGAGGGACCGGCCCTGGCGAGCGGGAGAGGCCAAGAAGGGCCTTGCCGTCCGGGCGGCTGCTACCAATCTTGATCGTGTCATTTTCAAAAGTCCAATTGAGCTGGTATATTGGTGAAAAGATTGAGGAATGAACAGAAAGATCAAGGTTTCAAGAGGAGGAGGAGGGGAGGAGGCCCCAAGGTATGACGGAGAGCTTTCCCTTGTACCGATAAGGTATTCGGATGCGATAAGATGAGGCGGGTCCGAAGCTGGCCGAGCTCCCTGGTGTTTGATTGGTGAATTGGGCGGAATCGTCTCGGTCCAGGATCCGAGCGCTCGGTATGGCACCCGCCGACCGGCGGTCTCGCACTTCTGAAAGTCTGAATGTTGGTTGAGGCGGTCGGGTGAGTTTCCTCTGCGGCTCGTTCAACGGGCAGATAGCCGCGCGGTCTCTTATCTGCGTCTCGCACACAGTCGTCCCGTCACTCGTGTAGCTTGTCTTGCCATCCGCAGATAGAGGTGTATCTTGAAGAGTAGCGTCAAGTCATTGGCACAACTCAGCTGGGCGTTGTTGGTATCTCGGTGATGGCTACCTTGTGGAAGAGCTGTGATAGTTGCATTGTATCATACTGATGATCCCGTATCTGTCGAATGCCTCTCTAGCTATCGTACAGATTTCGCCTTCAAAGAGTGAGTTTCGCTTTACGATACGATACCGAACAAACACCACTGGGCTCATTCCCCTTTCTATTGGATCAAGAAACCCCTTCACCAATTCCCTTCATCTTAAGCCAGTCCTGTCACATGGACGCTGCTTCCTGGAACATGACTAGAAGAATCAACTCGCGGGGAAGGTCTGCCGAGGTGCTCAACATACTCGTTCTCTTCAAGTCCAGTCAGGCCAATACCGTTTCAAAGGTCTGGCTGGATCATCGATCAGTAAGAAACTGTAAGACGTGGGAAGTAGGGATAGGGAGTAGGCCGTGTTTGGATGTTGGCTCGAAGCTGTAACCCGTACTGTTCAGCGTAGTGATTTGAGGAATTGGGATGGAGACTGAGGCCCACAATTAGCTCGCTCAACCTGTTACTCTGCCAAATGACCGGTCTTTTGGACTCAGTCGTTTGCCGCCTTGACGAAACGGAAAGCTGAACATGCTGAATCAATAGTATATATGCGAAAGTCGATTAAACTTCCGCTAATAGCATTTATCGGCTTGTAATGCAACCCGACTTGTAAAGGCAAAGACGGGATCCAGAGCACGAGAACTAGCTACCCTGGAGGTTGCAATTGGGGTTAACAGAGGGACCTGGGCATTAGTTTCCAGACTCGTGGAAAACTGAGAAACCACGACACAACTCTTCATCATCGGTATCCCTGCAGCATTGGGTTCTGAGACATCAAAGCAGAGTGCGGCTGAGAAAGTTAAATCACACCCAGCACTTCTTATGTCGTATCCCGAGTTGGAAGGGAAAATGGTGCCTGATACGGAACTAGTCGGGCACTATTGTACCTCTGGAGACTGGAGTTGCCCATGTGAAGCGCGGGGGATTTGAAAAGGGCTCAGCAGCTCAATATGGTGTGTTTCAATCGCCCATGGCCAATCTCGATGACAAGAAAGCGGGTTCTCTTCATGGACCTCAAAAAGCCTATGTCTCTTCCGGAACACAAGGGATCGGCATTCGCCGTACAAATCGCTGGGTCGCCGAGCTTCAGATTAGCATCTGTTATGGAGCTGCAAGCTATATGTACCACTTAGACTATAATAGTGTAGCAGGTACCTCAAAGCAAAGCTCTCCACAGAAGGTCGGTTGAGGCAAGAAGGAAAAAACGTGGGAACCTCGGGCGCCCACCAACCACGGACTGTCTCGACTCAAATCACGCCAGGCTACAGGAACCTGTGCTTATTCAAGTGATGGTAGCGACACATGGCGTGAACACCTCGCCTCATGATCAGGCTGCAATGGAAAGAAGAAGCAGCAAAAAGCGTGAGGAAGCGTTTTTGGGGAATGAGACGGAGAAAGCCACAGGGCGGCGCCACGTCGAGCTTGCAAGGAGCAGCCGTGGCGTGGCGGGCAATTGCGTGGGTCACTCGCCACATGCCCAAAAGCCATCGGGGCGTGGGGTCGCGTCGAGAAGGGAGGGGAGGTTCGCGCGAGGTTCGATCGCAGGCACACAGCTCGATGGCCGTAGCCACACTTGGATGGAGGAGGAAGCATGGTTGGACCAGGGGTGGGAGGGAAGCCACAAATCGGGAGCCGCCTCATGTCTCTCCAAGTCTCACTTCTTCAACTCCCACTCTCACTGTCCACACTTATAAGACGGTCTTTTTATGAGGAAGGGGGGAGAAAAAAAGAAGAGGCTAAAGCACCGTGGCATCTGGCACCCTCGGCAAAGCGGACCCCCCGCAAAAGCTCTTTTGCTGGGATGCGACCCTTGCTCGTGGTCTAGTGTACGCAGTATGTGGTTTTGAAGTTCCGAGACTTGAACATTTTCTCGACGCGATCCAGGCCCCAGGTCATTTCCGTTTCTCGCAGCCCCCTATCGCAGCTCCCTATCATACATAGTCAGCGTTTGTACGGACTGTTTGTACCCTACTGTCTATATACCCTACTGTCTATATACCCTACGGAGCACTATCCGTACGAATAGACCGTCGACGCATGGCTGGTTGTTTCGGCAGATTGCAACCTGCCAGGCGGATACAGCGTCGCATTCATAGCAGAAGTGAAATTGCTTCACGTCAGGACCAGCAGTCTAGCACCCATCCGCAGATGCTTGAAGTCAAGAAGTAGAGACGAGAGTCTACCTTACGGAATGCCCATGGGATATTTTCATGTGCTGGCAGCTGCTGATGTAAAGTCCTTGACTCTATTCGTTGAGTAGGTAAACGTCTACTGTACGACTTCAAATTCAAGGTTCGATGGAAGAGGAGGTACTTAGGAATACGTATCGACGGTACCTCACTTGGCGTTGTAGGTAGGTACGTACTAAGGCTCTAGCCTCTCTAGCGACTAGCCCGCTGTGGCTCAGCCAATGACCGCCCGCCAGCACCGTCCCGTCCGGTCGTCGCGTTCCCTCTTCGCCCGCTGGTCCCTTCCTCGCTCCGTCCGCTCCATATCAAATTTCACGTCGTGCTCGTTTCCCATTGCGGGTGCTTGTTGCTTTGGCTCTGGCTCTGTTTCTTGTCTCTGCATCGTGATCTTTTTCGTCTCCTCTCACTCTGCCGGGGGCCCATCTTCGCCGCCTTTTTTCCCTCATTTGCTCCTCCCAGACTACTACCCCAAGCTGCCAAACTGCCACCCACACCGAGCACCGAGCACCGAACCTGAGCCCTGGAAAACGAGGTCAACCCATCTTCCATCGTCGCGGATTGCCCGTCAATTCGGTCTAGCCCCATCCCATTTCCAACCGACGCGGATACGGTTGCCTCATGTCATCCTAATTTCCGTTCCATTCGCTCCCAAACGGTCGACTCGCAGTGCCCTTCCGTCTTCTGTTCGCCTCCCTCAGTCTCCATTGCATGTTGCTGTCCCTCTTTTTCGGACGAGGATCCACAAGCAGCTGCACTGCTGAGCGGCAGACCGAGGCCGTACGCAGCACGCAGCACGCAGGCGTGAACTGAACGGCTGACCACCACCGTATCGGGACACCCATCGCCTCACCACCAAGGGACCACCCCCCCCCCCCTCCCAACCGATATATACAACCCGACTGCCTCGTTCCCCCCAGCCACAATGTCCACCGAACCCTCCCCTCGTGCTGTTCGATTCTCCAACGGAGACGACGACTTGCGCTCAGACAAGATCATGCCCCAGCGACCAGTTGCCATCCCCGTCGACTCGGACAATTCTGCTTCCTCTGGCGAATACCAACCCGACGACCCTCACGCACTCGAACGTCAAGATGAACTTGGTTCTCTCGCCAGGTATTCCGAAGGCCATATCGCTGGCTCCATGTCCAACCTCGTCCAGGCCGCTGTAGCCAATGGCACAACCCGCAGTCTACGAAGCAACGCCAGCGACGGCGACGCATCCTACACCAATGGCGCGAGCAAAGTTCAACGACCCAGCGCTCCCGCGAGGACCCCTTCCAACACATATGCCCCAGCCGCCCACCGCAGGCCGCAACCTGCTCCTTCTTTCGTCGAATCCGTCCGAGCTTCATCAAGAGGTCGTCCTCGTCCCAGCGAAAGGTTTCGTCAGCAAGAGAGGGCATACGTGCAAAGGTTGAGGCAGGATCACAACGATGGCTACCCGTTCGATGGCGGATACGTAAACGGCATCAACGGCATTGGCCAAGGCGCCGACTCCGACTCCGAGGGGGAGACACCCTCATCAGAAGGACCCTTTGACGACAGATACGACCAGGAGACAATCATGTTCTACGGTAACGACGATTTGCAACCCACAGACGAAGATTTAAAAGACCCGACAAACCGAGAACGACTAGAGTGGCACGGCATGCTGGAAGCTGTCCTGACCGGAGACGTCGTCAAGCAAGAGAAAAAGCGGTTGATTGGATCCAACGAACAAGCAGTAGGGAAGAGCGGGCAAAAGGCAGAGCTGTGGCTTGGTATTCGCTCAAAAGTATGTGGAAGACATCTTCCAGTCCAGAGACGAATGGTCGAGGAGGCCCGCGCGACCCTAGACCGCACACTAGACGAGATTATCAACTTCTCCGTCAAGGGCGAGAGCGAAGCTGGAAAGCCACCATACGAGCAGGTCAAGGACGTGGTCAAGAAGATCGACAAGGCTGAGAGCCTGTACCCTTCTTGGACCTCGCTGGCAGCTGAGCACCAGTCGGCAAACTCCCCGCTCTTCCATGAGGCGTCGGAATCCATCATTGCCTGGTACAACACCAATGAGATGATCAACACAGAGCTTGCCATTCTCAAAAAGTGGGTTGGAAACGAAGAGCTAGATTTTACTCGGACACGACAACGTTCGCCTGTAGGCAATGGCATCAGCGATGAATCCTCATTCCTCGACCGATTGATGAAGGAGGACGGCTTGAAGTCGCTGTATGACGAGGAGTTTGACGATGAAAAGAACAAAGATGCACACAAAGGCATGTTGCCTGGTATTTCAACCGTCATCACCAAGTCCAAACAGACGCTCATTCGAAATTTCGCCGCCTTCCAAAAGCGACATCTTCCACCATACATCGAGGAGCTGCTTACCCTGATCA